CTTCAAGGAACCAGTCAGAGTTACCATCACTACAGACGCCAGTCTGTATGGTTGGGGAGCCCATCTGGACTCCCAGTTTGTACAGGGACATTGGTCCGCCACGGATCTGAGAAACAACATCAACTGGCTAGAACTCAGGGCTATCCACCTAGCCTTGCAACAATTCAAAGACAGAATCAGAGGCCACCACGTTCTAGTCCTAACAGACAACGTAGCAGCCAAGGCGCACATCAATCGGCAGGGGGGGACCAGATCAAAAACCCTGATGACAGAGGCATGACTCCTATTCAGCTGGGTAGAGCCCAATCTGAAGTCACTAAAAGCGGAACACATATCGGGGGTCAACAACCAGCAAGCGGACTTCCTAAGCCGCACCACAGTGGACCCTTCGGAGTGGGGGCTATACCCGAACTTGTTCCTAGACATCTCCCGCAAGTTCGGGTACCCGCTCCTCGATCTGTTCGCATCATCAGACAATGCCCAGCTCCCCAGATTTTACTCTCGTTACTTCAACCCGCGAGCAGAGGGGACGGACGCTCTGAGAACTCAGTGGCCTCAGGGTCTGCTTTATGCCTTTCCCCCACTACCACTCATACCGGCGGTCATCCGCAAGCTGATTCAGGAGCGGGCAGAAGTGATCCTAGTAGCACCATATTGGCCACAGAGACCGTGGTTCGCCGACCTGATGAACCTGTCTCAGTCGCCCCCATGGAACATTCCCCCTCATCAAGTGTCCCTACACCAGGGAACCATCAGTCACCCGGAACCCCATTGGTTACAACTGACCGCCTGGCACTGTGCCAGATAATGGCACAGGAACTATTCTCTCCCGGGGCCATTACCATAATTCAAGCTTCACGCCATCCGGCAACAAACCTCATTTACGACTCCACTTGGAAAAAATTTTGCCTTTGGTGCAGGGAACGGCAGTTTGACTTACACAAACTCTACATCCCTCAGATAGTAGATTACCTCTTGGAGGGACTAGACAGAGGCCTCGCCCCCGCGACCTTCTGCAGGCAAGTGGCAGCCTTGTCCACCCTCCTCACCTGCACGGATTCGGTTCTCTTAGCTCACCACCCTAGGATCCGCGCCTTTATCAAGGGCGCCTATAACACCAGACCTCCAGTAGTTCACAGGTACCCATCCTGGGAACTACTGCGAGTCCTTCACGCGCTCATTCGGTCACCATTTGAACCATTGGCGACCGTTTCCTTGCGACACCTGTCGCTAAAGGTGGCGTTCCTGATTGCCATCACATCGGCCAGACGAATTTCGGAACTGGCCGCACTGTCAGTCAGAAACGACCTATGCATTTTCCACAAGGACAGGGTGGTCCTTAGGTTAGATCCTGCCTTCATACCGAAGGTGAATTCACTCTTTCACAGGACACAGGAAGTAATTCTCCCAAACTTCTGTCCAAATCCAACACATGACCGGGAGCGGCAGTGGCATACATTGGACGTCCGCAGAGCTTTGCGGCGTTATATAAGGCGTACAGAACCCTTCTGCAAATCGGAGGCCCTATTTGTGTCCTTCCAAGCGGGCACCTTGGGGCGGAAAGTTTCCGCGGGCACCATTGGAAGGTGGATCCGAAGCTATATCGCAGAAGCTTACAATGTATCATCCCTGCCGCCCCCAAGTTATCTCACAGCCCATTCCACCCGAAGCGCTGCAACTTCGGCGGCATGGGCTACCCAGGCGTCAATCGAGGAAGTTTGCAGGGCCGCGACATAGTCATCGCCTTCCCCGTTTATACGACACTACAAGATAGACCGCTTTGCATCGGCGGACGCCTCCTTTGGTAGGAGGGTCCTCCAGCAAGTTGTCTCAAAGATCAATCTACCGGCCTTATCTGTTTCCTACCCCTTGGGACAGTGAGGCTTTGGTACGTCCCATCCGTGGATTATCCATCTCCTGTACTGGAGAAGGGGCGTGGTCTTACCTGAACGCCTTTTCTCAGTACGGAGATGGATAATCTACACCCACCCCAAGGCCAGCAGGCCGCTAGTAGGGAGCTGAGAGCCAATACCTCGTCAATCATCAGCCAATTCGCCCTCGTTAAGAATGGACTCCACAGGAAGTGGGGGCGTGTCAAGTTTTGGCTACTTGGTCTCAAGAGCAGGCAGACAGAGAAAACCCATCCGTGGATTATCCATCTCCGTACTGAGAAAAGGCGTTCAGGTAAGACCAACGCCCCTTCTCCCCCGTTCAGTTTTGCATCGCTGGGGGGCCTTGAAAAGGGCCAAAAATCACCCCGGAGAGGCGACCAGCAAGGAGGGGCTTTTGCTGGATCACAGGAGAGCAACAACTTTCCTGTGAGACCTGGCATTTCCTCCAAACCGGCGGACAAAAGGACCGGCCATAGAAATATGGCTCGTCCCTAGGCTGCTAACAGCCAAAGTCACATTAACATCTGGCAACTTCAAAGCAGCGTGGAAAGGATTGGGTGAGATCTGCCTCTCTTACATCCTAATTACTTAATTACCTGCATAAGCTGCTAAAGTACTTTCCCCCCTGTGGTGAGGGAAGGGGGATTTTAGCCCTCCCTCCAGAAACAGCGGCTATCAACCACTTGGGAGTCTAAAACGTTGGGAAAAATACTGGGATCCTAATTGGAATTCTATTTTTTAAAACTGGTGGATTATAAGACCTGTAACTTTATGTTCTCTATTTTTTCTTCTTCTCTGATTTTTACTCTAACTATTATTGAAGATTTGGGTTCTTTTTCTCCCCCTTAAAATAGAGGGGGAAGAGAAAACTGAAAAGATCTAACTAACTCTGAGATGACATTTGCTGGCTAAATTTGAGACTGTAACCTGCTATTCTTTAAGAGAGACTTGTTGATTGCCTTAAAAACAGATAAGATAAAAAAGTAACCTTGAAGCACCATCTGCAAGAAACTCAGCTCAGCTTTTTACTTGGTGGACTTTCTGATTGTAAGTTTTTTGTTTAGTTTAATATATGACAATGGAAGAAGAACAGGAATGGATTTCTCCGACAGAGGAAGTACAGGAACAAATTATTTATATGTTAAAAGCAATTATCCAAACTCTCCATATGCAAGCTCAAACTATGACTTCAACTAAAGAATCATCTATACAGAATTCTATAGAGAAGGGGAAACAACCAAATGTTATGACAGGAGACTTAGATACTCAACAAATACAAACTGTGGAAAATACGGGAAGGAAACTGATAATAGAGAACAAGGAAAGGACTTTTCTTATAATCCAGAAGGAATTTGAAGACAAAAAAGAAAAACAGATGAAAGACAAGATAAATACTTCGGGACAACTGCATCGAACTGGAAAAATAAAGAGACGACCTGTTAAACCAGCTAGCCCTCTTAAAAAAACAGCAACTGAACGCCTTTATCAATATCAAACAATAGTTATAACAATACAAGGAGATCTTTTTGATGATTTAAAATCGAAGATACGAAAGATGATTTGGCAGAGGAAAAAAGCTAGAATTAGACTGAAAGGGATTGGGGTTTTGATCTATATATGAGATCTAAAATAGAATATATTTACATGGATAGAATATGTATTTTGAATATAAGATATTGTAATGATTTGAGATAAAATTGGTTTTATAAAATCTAGAACTATAAATATCGAAATAAGAATATTATATTGTCTTATTCGTTTGTTAAGATATATGATAGATTTTACATATAAGGTCTGTATTTTAAATATTAGATCATATGAGGAATTGTGATAAAGGAATCGTGTTTAATTAAAATTTGGAAAAAAGATAAATATTAAATGTTAAATTAAAATATTAAGGGGAAATCAATTATCAGGTTACTGATTTGCTAAAAGTTTGAATGTCTATAGATAACTAAGACTTGAATTTAAGATATTGTCATGAGTTGAGACACAGGTTAAATAAAACTTAGAAGTATAAATACTAATAATTAAATTCATATATTAGCTTGTGGTATAAATGCTGATGGTTTATATATTTATTTATTTATTTTTCTCTTTTTCTGGAAAAGAAGAAAAGAAAGTAGAAAAAGGAAAAGAAAAGAAAAATTATTAGCCCTAAATATGAGATAGGAGACTGAGAAATTGGGATCATTTAAAATCTGGAAATGATAAAGATTAAACGTTAAATTTAAATATTAATGCAAAATTAAAGTTAAGAAAAACTTATTAGGCTATTGTCTAAAAGATGGAATGTCAAATTAATTAAGGTATGTATAGACTGAAGATTATTGATGAATATTAGAAAGGTATTTTTTGTTTGATTGATAGAATAAGAACTGTGTTGATCTGAATATGATAGTAGATCTTATGGGGGAAAGAGAGGGAATTTGTTGTTGTAATACTTTGAGATTTGTACTGATGATATTTAAATGTAATGGAATTACAATGCTCAACCGCCACGCTACTTTTCAAATATGTAAATGCAATATTGGAAAATTAATAAAAAACTTGGACATAAAAAAAAGCTTGTACATTTTGTGCCATCGTTCATCTCTATACTTTTGACTAGTGAAAAACTATGACTATTGGAAGTAGTAATGTAATGGAGAGCATTGCAGTTGATCGACCATGATCATGTATTCCAAAAGCCAAACTCTGCATTTCATTAGATTAGATGGCATATAAATAGTCCTCAACTTACAACCACAATTGAGCCCAGAATTTCTGTTGCTAAGTGAGACATTTGTTAAGTGAGTTTTGCCCCGTTCTTGCAATGTTCTGGCCACAGTTGTTAAGGGAATCACTGTAGTTGTTAAGTCAGTAATACGGTTGTTAACTGTATCTGTTTTCCCCAGATTGCAAAAGGTGATCACATGACCCCAGGATACTATAACCATCATAAATATGAGTCAATTGCCAAGTGTCTGAATTTTGATCATGGGGATGCTGCAACGGGTGTACACATGCAAAACAGTCATAAGTCACTTTTTTCAGTTGCCTTTGTAACTTTGAATGATCCGTTGTAAGTCGAGGACTACCTGACTTTTGTTTCTATATTTGCCACAGCTTCAGAGAAAGTGCACTTGCTATTGTTCCTTGGAGTGAGAAAAAACACAGAGAAGAAGATTGGTGTGAAGGGCCACCATGCAAGTAAGTATATGTTAATTTAATTTGATATTTGCATTAGTGATCCAGTCTTTTTAAGTTTGGTAGGAACTATCCGCGGGAAATCCTTCATCTGCAGTTTCTGCATTCTCCTTTGAAAGCAGAATACCAACTGCATCTTTTCTCTCTCTCTCTTTAATATATATTTCTTTTAGAATGGTTGATACAGTAAAAGTATTCAAAAAAAAGCCAACAAAAAAGATAAAAAGTAAGAAAAAAGGAATGAAAAGAAAACATTTGCTAATCTTTCTATTGAATAATTATAATTATCAACCAGTTCTTTTCCCCATCCTTTTTTGCCCCTTTAAACCCCCAAATCATTAATTCAGTCATGTTTTTTCAACAAAAAGTCTACATAAAGTTTTTAGTCTTTCAAAAAAAAAAAAATCTTTGTCATTTTTTTTCCATGACCAAAATGGTCAATTTCTCTATTTCTGCAAGTTCAGTCAGTTTTACAGTATAACCCCAAACTTCCACTGTACATATTGCATTATTTTTCCATGTTTTTGCATGCAATAAGCTTTCTGCAGTTGTTTGGTCTCTTTTTTGAGAGAACTTGTAGTCCTAAACAGATAAAGAACACTTCAAAGCTTTGGATATGCTATGATAAAATTAGGCTTATTAATCAGAACTGGCTTTCTTGTTTTGGGATACATATAGTTTAATTTTTTATTCCCATGATCTGAATAACCATATATGGAGGCTACTTCCTCTTCTCTGAGTTTTTTTCCTAATAATATCATGTCATGGGGTTGGTGGCATTACATTAGGTCTTCTACTCATAACTAATTAGATTCTAGTAGCACTAACCTCTGCTCAAAGAACTAGCTTTTTATATGACAAGATAATAGGGATTAAATTGTTTCTTTTTAGAAGTACAGAACTTCCCAATTCTGTATTTGGTATGTAATTGATATTGCTTTAATTGCTTACAGGAAGCCACCCAGAGTTGATGTAAGATGGGTGGCTATATAAATGTTTTAAATAAAAAATGAAATAATTATTTACAATATTTTTATAATGTCTTTTTTCCCTCTTTTCCTGACTGTTTTCTCATAAAGTTTCTGTCTACCTTAGTCTTTTTATAAGAAAGTGGCATTGAACACTTTACTTTTTGTAATGCAAGTAGTCACACACAGAAATCTGTATAAATGCACAAAGTTATATCTGCATACTTCTTGTTCTTGAACAATGGTGCAGGTTGCTCTGTAGCAGGGGTGTCAAACTCGCAACGTTACATGACGTGTCACAACTTATTGTGGCTTTTTTTCCATTGCTGGCAATAGGGTGGGCGTAGTCTCGCTATGACGCATCCGGCCTGTGGGCCAGCAGTTTGACACCCCTGCTCTATAGAGTCAATTTGTTAATTTGGTTGCTTAGTAAGACACATTTAGTAGAATTCCTACCATGATAACAAGGATAGAAGACAATACCCATTCTCAATGCTCCTATCATCATGAGTTGCAGTCAGGAGTTAATTACAATGCCCTTACTCGTACGTGGACAAAAACTTTGCACCCAGCTAGAATTGAAGAGGCCCAGTTGTGAGAACAATTTCTGAACACAAGAGAAACCCATTTGTACATTAAATACACTTTTCTGTTTGTATACAGAGACTAATTTATTCACTTCCAGTAGTGTAATAAAAATGTGTACGTACATAAACTCCTGTTGATGCAGCAATAAGGTTTAATTACTTAGTAATGAGTGGAAATGCAGTAGGTGCAATCACCTTTTTTGTTTCCTTTATGTGCTAGAAATATCAATGTAAATCTTAAATTAGATGCTTTCTATGATTTTTTTAATATACTAATTTCTCAGAATAAAATATTTAAAAGAAAAATGAATCAGATTGTCTGTCTGTCTGTCTGTCTATCTATCTATCTATCTATCTATCTATCTATCTATCTATCTATCTATCTATCTATCTATTTATTTTATACCTATCTCTACCAAAATTGTATATCACCCAATTCTCAATGATTCTAGTGGGTCACAACAACTAAAGCAAGAGAAATACAATTAATTTAAAGAGTAATATACTGTATCAGTGTTTTAAATCTTTGGAAAGGATTTGTAATAGTAATAACATTCGGTTTTGGTCATGGGCCAATCAGAAGTAGCGTACCCAAGTACAATGAAAGGAAAATTAGGAATAAAAATAGCTAAATCACTAAAGGAGAAGATAAAAGTAACATGAACTTGTCGATATGATATACAAGACAGATATGGATTTTGGGGGGGGGTCCTTTTTTCTTTTTGATAATGGTTCTTTGAAATTAATCATATTGAGTTTTATAGCCACTAGTTGTTAAACTCATGCATTCAGTTCCTTTTCCGTATAAATAATCTGATTTCTGGATTCTGCATCTTTATTTTTGTTTGTGATGCTCAGATTAATTATTGATCCAGTTCTTCAAGATGAAAGTGAAATTTTGTTTGACTCTCAACCTGAATTGTTGAAATACAGAGCAACTGACCTTTCAATAGATTTAGTAACAGACTGGTACTGGAAACGAGCAGAGGAGATAGAAAATTACTCTATGCAGGTAAACACAAGACTATGGATTTATTTATTTTTTATTTTGAAGACCTGATATACTTTGTTTTGTGGAGTTAAAACATACATATAGATTTCATATAGATTAAATCTGATTATATTTCATATGCTGTGCTTCCCTTTGGATATTATCACAGAGGTACTTTTTCAAAAGGCAACAGGACTTTCTTTGTTTTTCCTTGAAGACGTTTTGCTTCTCATTCAAGAAGCTTCTTCAGTTCTGACTGGATGAGAAGTAAAACATCTTCAAGGAAAAACAAAGTACAGTTGCCTTTTGAAAAAGCACCTTTGGGACAACCATGACCTGGATGACTGAAAATCTCCATATTCTCTTTGGAGATTGACTTTGGAAATTATATGTAGTGAATATGCAATATATAAAGGAATATTTTCACATGTGATCTACCATATCAGAATTAGGTTATTAGTTTTATTATAGAATTTTTATATAGTGTTTTTTCAGCAACAAAAATGGGTAAGTGGGAGATGTCAGTTTATCTTCCACTATTCTGTTGAGCTATAATCAGTACATTTAAAATAAGCTTCCTGTTTTAAAATGTTCACCAAACTATAGAAGAATGTTATTGTGGGCTTCTGCCTATTTCGAAGGGCTCATTTATAAAGTGCTTGTAAAAAACAAAGATCTTTAAAGTTGTGTTTGCATTCAAAAAAGCCAGTTTTACTTTTAGTCCAGTGTCTTTTAAAAAAGAGGATTTATACAGTTCCATTAGTCTCAAATTCACAGTACGAGTATAAATACATTTTAAAAATTCTTAAAATAATATAGCAGCTATCTTTTACTTATGTTCTTGTTCATAAGTCCAGAGGAAAGCTTTGTGAAAGTGGTCTTTCTTCGGTTATAGCCACCTCAGTATCCTCATGAATGTTCAAGACATTAGTTATTAATTATAGTAAGTTGTGACAGTTCTACTTCTGAAACTGAAAAAGGTGCCTAACAGCATGCTCTATCTCATAGGTGTGGAAATGTAAATTCTTATTTGCCATGCCAATTTTAGAGAGTAGTAATGTCGGGCACAAGTAACATTTGTAACAATTGCTAGAAAATTAGCAATTTCACATGCACTTTCTTGAAATCTCTTAGATGGATAGCATGTGAAGCTGGTGGTATATTTTCAAGTTGCCATTGAGGTTTACAAAATCCTCACTTGTCATAACTATTTGTCTCTGTTTTTTTTATTATTTTTCACTTCATGTACAAGTCTCTGTCCTAGGGCTTCTATAGTGAAGATAGGGACAAATGATTTAGATCTGGGTGGAAGCCAAATAAAAGCTAGCCATTCCTCATCTCAGATAAGATACTATATGTTAACTGTATAAGAAATTTTGGGGATTAAATCTGCTCAGTTTGACATCTGGTATGACTGAATTTCAAAGTTTAATATTAATAGTTCAATATAAAATACCATTTTAAAATAGTATTTCAACCAGGTCAGAGTTGTGAATTGTGTTTGAAACAACTTTCTTCAGTTCTGAAAATCTTGCTCGAAGATTAATAAGTCACTAATGGTTTGACATTCTAATTTCATTCTGTTCTCTGTTTGTGGTTTAAATAGGTAGATTCTGCTCTCTCATTGGTTCGCCTTGGCATGGAAAGGAATATTCCTGGTCTTCGCTCTCTGTGTGATGATCTGGTTACATTGGAGACACTAGTTTATGAGACTGGATGTGACATTACTTTGAAGTTAAAAGAGTTACAGCAAATGGAAAACATTGAGAAGCTAAGGCTGTTAATGTCAAATGTATGTGTATTCATTTTTGCCCCATGGTGGGTAAGATTGAAAGAAAGAGTTATTTTATTTTGCAATGAAATTTTGCCTTACACAAAATTACAGTTCTTTTATCTTGCATGAAATCATCTTATTTTTATCTACATCTACAAAAAATTATTCTTAGGAGTTCAGAAGATTGGATACATAATTTAACCCTGATTGATGTTCTTATAAACATCATTTATTTTAGATAAGATGGGTGTGCTGCTTTCTCAAAGACAATTAATCTTTCTCAAAGACAATATTTTCTGAATGAGGGGAAAATGGGTTGCTCATTGCCAACAATATAAAAAATTCACATTTTAAGCTTCCAGAATGGGTAAGTTGGATATTGGTACAATCCAAGAGAAAAGCTGAGGAATAATTACTATACTATAATGTATTTGCTTATCAGTACAACATTGGGAGCATTACTTCAGGAAAACTTTTAGTAAAGTTTCAGAGTACTCTAGTAGTATTAATATGGAAAAAAAATTCTTAAGAATGGACTAAATACTTTCCTTTTTCATAATAATTTACCCCACCTTTGCTGTAAAGCAACACTTATGAGGTTTTATTTCATATTGTTCTTCCCTAGAATGATCTGAAAATATTCATATTACAATATTAATTCATTTTTAATAAAAAGATAAGAGATCAGTATAATGTGCAACATACAATATGCTTTTACAGTGATATTGACCACAAAGAGGCAGTATGGGATCAATTTCATCCTTATTATGAATTGTCGGACATCTGTAGCCAATTCTTTTTTGTGGGGTTAAAATCCTCTACGAAGATTTGAATGTATGGACTATTGCATTTTAGATGAGTAGGAAACCAGTTCTATAATGCAGGTGTCCCCAACTCCTGGTCTATGGACCTGTACTGGTCCGCAGCCCATTGGGAACCAGGGCACGCAAGCAGCAGGTGAGGCACGAAGCTTCAGAATTAGGTTGTACGGAATTAGGTTGTGTGCATGAAACCATCCTCCCCCCCACCCCGCCACTACTGCCATTGCTGTTGCTACCAGTCCATGGAGCCAGAAAGATTGGGGACCGCTGCCAGAATGTCTTCTGTTGGTCAGTATTACTGAAAATACCATCCAGGATATACCCTTTATATAAACAGATAAATTTCCCCTCCAGTATGGATGGGAGATAAGGTTAAAGTCATGTAAAATCTATGTAGGACCATGGCAGAATTTAACATTGGTGGCACTCTAAAATCTTTTACAGTGCATTAGAAAAAGAAAGCTTAAAGATCAGAAAAAGGAAACAAGTTGAGCTACATTTATGGGCTGAGTTTACTTTAATTTAGCATAGCTCTTTCTTATTTTATGTTGTGTCTCTGATTAATGAAAAGATATTTCATTTTCCAGTCATCAGAAGACAGATATGTCAAAAATGCTTACCAGTGGATGGTCCCCTTCCTACATCGGTGTGAAAATGAGTCTCCAGGCATTGCTAATGAGCTTCTCAGAGAGTACTTGGTAACATTGGCAAAGGAAGACCTGACATTCCCTTTGAAAATATTTGAACATTCTAAACCATTAGTAAGTTCATTTTATTGTTTAGGGGTATAGAAAACTATTTAATGAACTAATATGAAAAAAGGGTATCCAAATATTTGTTAAATGGCTAATGGCGTCCTAGAACTTGGAATTAGGCATTGCCACTGAGGCAACTCTTTAGATGAAGCAGATTTTATCAGTAAAAACCAAAGTTCTCCAAAATGAGATTTTCTTCTCAGCATGTGGACACTTGCCCAGAAGATTTCAAGAAGTCTCAAGTACCCATAATAAACTTCCATTAGTATCAGTTTCTCTTGTAAGTGAAGTGCCATTTCAGACAATTTGTGCAGTCCTAATTTTAAGTAGCCTTGTGAATGAACTTAATGAGCACAAAGGAATCCAATGAGAGTGTCAGAGTTGCAATCTTACATCAGCTAACCTGGTAGAAAATGCAATTGAACTTGATGGGACTTAGTTCTCAATAGATTATATTGTCAGTCTTAATTATTTTACATGAAGCACTTGTTCTGAATGTAATTGCTGAATTGTGAAATACAGGGACTGGAAAAATAAAAGAGATTAAGGGATCTTTATAGTAACTTCTTGGTACAGTGCTTTATAATTCTCCATTTTGAGTGGCTTGTTTTGATAATTATTTTTTTTTATTTTGTGGGCAATATACAGTTATAGAATGGCTGCGAGCAGTAGTGGAGGAAACTTAAACTATAGTATATATTAATGCTATTTATGTAAGAAAGTAACACATAGTTAAGTTAAAAGCTTTATAATTAGAAATACTTTCTTTTTATAAATTGCCTGATGAAAACACAATTTAGAAGGCTTTCAAAACGAAGTAAACTAAATTGAACATCCTCTCCTGATTCCTGTGTTCATTACTGAGTTTCCATTATGGGTAGTATGATTTTCTAAAACACCAAATTGAAATTTTGAATTTTTTTTATAAAGATCTTACTAGGTTGACTATACAACTGTAATGACACTACACAGAGTATTGTGCAGAGTATTAGAGTACTGAGAGTACTAGAGACATTAACAGCAAACTGACATACACTCTGGAACATAGCAATCTTTCTCTCTTAGAATCAGCAAAAAATAATTTCAGATCAACTTCTCTTAATGATGACCGCTTTAGAATGTATCTACAGCTGCAAACGTGATGACCAGCTTTCTCTGTGCTATGATATCTTAGAATGTCTCCCTCAAAGAGGTCTGGGGTGAGTATTATCATTCTTGAAACATTGAGTATTGTGGGATGGTTAAAAAAAAAATACTTTTGCTATCATTAATACCTATGAGATATCCACAGTTATTTATATAAATTTCACTATCTGAAGGATGATGTGACTTATAGTGACTTATCTAATTTTATATAATCATCATCTGACCATGCTTTATTTTAACATCACCTCTTTGTCTAGAAAGTTTCAGATTGGCAGGTGACAAATTGCTGGTGTTAATTCTCTCTGTGAAAGACCAGATGAGAGCTTGTTGTAGAACAGGGATGTCAAACTCAATTTCATTGAGGGACGCATCAGCATTGCGGTTGCCCTCGGGGTGGGGGGGCAGGGTGGGTGCAGCCTACTGGGTAGGCGTGGATGGAGTGGGTGTGGCCTACTGGGTGGGCATGGCCAGCTCTACATTGTTCGCGTCAAGGGTGCCTGTGGGAGCCTGGGCAGCAGTGGGACAGATCTGAGGGTCTCTGGCAGAAGGGGTTGGGACCAGGGCAAGTGCCAAGGCATGGTGCATTTCTTCATTCCTCACAAAGGGTGACACCTCCCCAGCATGCACCCGGGGGGCGGGGCCAATGCAGCAGGGGCTGGTTCCTCGCTGTTTCTGGACGGTCTTGTGGAGCTAAGACTGAATGCATTTCAGCATAGATGGCCACCACAAAATTGTACATTGGCTTCCGGCCGGTCTGGGCCAGGGCCAAGGCAGCGGGGGGCATTCCCTCATTGTTTCCAGGAAGGCTTCGCGAGCCACATGAAACCACTTCACGGGCCGCATCCGGCCCCCGGGCCTTGTGTTTGACATGTCTGTTGTAGAAGGATTGAGAAATAAAATATTTTAAATTCAATTTGGATTTGCTAAACTCAATTTAAATGCATATTGCCTGGAATATCCAGTGGTCCCAGAGAGTAGTGGAATATAATGCTACATGTATGATCTTTTTTGAGAGAATGCTGTACAGAAATTTTATTTTAGTGGCAAAACAAAGCATGTACATTATAGGTCAACAATCTTAGTTTCTTCATCATCACCAGCAAGGATGAGAAAGATCCCACACTGAAGCTAAGTAGAATTGATGTCAGCCACTCCTAAATGGATTGATGGTCTAACTCTGTTTAAGGCAACAATTTGAACATTAAGAGAACTAGCCTCTGCAGGCTCTTATGTAGGTAGTGTAATTTGGTAATGGAAGGAAGTACTTCCAGTGTCATGAACAGTGAATTTAATAAATAAATTATGATTATTTTAGTCCCAGCAAATCTGAAAGATGCTAGCCCTGGGTTTTTAGTCCTATTTCTTCACTGACATTTTTTATTGTGATATATTCAAATTTCCTATAACTTTTCCAGCCTTGAAACAGACATTGCCAATGATCTTCACAATAAAGTTGATGAATTGGAACAAATTCTTAGGTAAGAAGTTCCTTTCTTAATCTATATATCTCATTACTTTAACTTTATTAGTTCAGTGTTTATTGGATAGTTCTGAAGTCCAGGTTTGTGAGGATAAAAAAGGTCCATAGAGCAAGTATTATTGTAATCATCACTGAAATTACTCTTTGGGCCATGATGTAGCTATGTGAAAGAAAACAAAGTGCTTGGGAGGAAGAATGTCTACAATTAAGTAATTTCTCCATGTTGATCAGGGCAAGAACATTTCCAAGTTTTAGATTCATTAGGAGCCTACAGCAGACCGTGTCAGCCATTTTGTAATTCCATCTAAAAGTCACAGTGGTTAACAATTTTAATCTGCATGGAAAGTAATCTGTTCAAGACAGAGGTATTGCACAGAACCCTTCTTTCTTCATATCAGAATGCCAGGTCTAGTGTTATGTTGTGCTTCATCCATAGTACCAAGAATGAGTTTGTACAGACCATTGGCGTCCATATCATATATTAAATCTGAGCTATTCTTGATTGACCAAACTTGGCTGAGAAGTTATTATCAACTTGAAAAACTATTGTCCAGATTGCCTTAGTTGGTTAACGAAAAGAGGTAGATGATTAGTTAATCTGTTCCTCATGAGAATCCATCCACTCTCCTTTCCACACTCTAAATTGAGAGGTGGCAAATTAAAAATGTGTATGAATTGTGGCATCTAGAGTGTAACATGCATTATGGTGTTCTAATGCCACTCTTGCTTAGGGAATCCCAATGATTTACAATGCAACAGCCTTTAATAAATTTATGCAAACATATTCAAAGAAAGTAAGGTGGTATATGTGGTTTGCAGCACCATTCGATCAATATCGTACAGATTATTCATTTTGTACATATTGCATTTAATTTCTGCCAAGAAAGAAGAGGGTGTTTTTATGTGTCACAACCATAAAAATAAATAAAATATTGTGTTTTTCTTTTAAGAGAAAGTCTTTTTCTTTTGTTTGGGACTCTTAGCAATATAATTGGGAAGAACTATATGGTTCAATTGATATTTTTTGACAATTATTGCAGTGTATCAGAACGTTTGGAAAAACATGGACTCCAGAAACCTGTATCCTTTGTAAAAGACACAAAGAACAGTCCAGAAGAAGCACAGAAACTGATGATAAGATTGACTCGGCACATAGCCAAAAAGTGAGTACAGTGTAATGTAAGGCCACTGTTCTTAGTGGTAGTGAATCTGTATAACTAACTTTGTTTCCACTTGTAAGTTTGAAATAAATACTATTCAGCATTTGAAATAATAAATAATTATTAATATTAGGAAAATTGGTATTAAACCTCACTCTTAATGCCTAGAGTTTGTTCAAGTTACAGTCTACTGATGATTATACTATGAATCTTATTTATGATGTCACAATACCCATACAAAAGAGTTAAGAGATTGTATCATAATGTCATAGTCCCCTTTAATTTTGCAACTTAATTATGTGCTTTATAAATGTTAATATTTTTATATCTCTTAAAAGGCAGCCTTCTGTTAATGAGAAGTACTGGATGGGATTATTGCAAGACATGCTGGTTATGCAGAAAAATGTTTATAATTGTTTAAGAGCAGACACATGCTATGAGGTAATTGTTTCTTTTTTTTCCCCAGTGTGCAGTAAAAGATACTTTACATTTTATACTTCTTTGTACTAACTCTGTTTATATACTCCTAAATTCAAACAATGGAAGGAGAACTTAGTCTAGAGTTATCTCAGTATTTATTTTATCCATTTAAATCCTATAGTATTAAGTTTTCTTAACTATTTTAGCAATAAGGAAAAATTTGTAAAGCTAAAATTTATATAAGTAACTTGGATTTTAAAAGGAACATCTTTCGTGATTGGCTTTTAAGCAGAAGTTTGAATCAGTTTGCTACTGGAGTCTTCTAGGAATGAGCAATTCCTAACTGAATATTATTTAGTTTATTTTCAGAAAATTGTAACCAAGAAAATGGCTATAGTTATAGCAGTTGTAAAGAGTGGAACCTACAGTACATTTTAAGGATATTAAAACAAACATAGATAAACCTATTGGCTCTTTGTCTGTAAACATATGCAAAATATTCTTTTTCTTGAAGCAAACTGAAGAGGAAGAATTTTTTAAGTAAGGATGCTGAATAAATAGGGCTGTTATTCTTATTTGGGACAATACACTTTACTGTTCTTGATAAAAATACATTTCTTGGATTTCTAAGAAAAGCCAATATTTTAGCTTATCCAGAGCAAGGGGATTTCCCCCCCCCCTTGCCGCCCAGTTAAGAGGATTAAAAACAGCTTTAGCAAAGATTCTCTGAGACTTTATAATGCTTTTTTCTGACTACTTTGAAAAATCTGAAAAAGAATAGGGACTAGATGATGGCTTTAGTCCTGAAAAGCACATTTCAAATACCAACTTTGAAGTTTGTTGCTACTGATAGACTGGGCTAAGTATCCTGAAACATAGCCTGCATTTGAATAAAACCTAAACAAACAAACAAACAAATAAATAAATAATGCAAAACCTCTTAGAATTCTGCATTATTACAAATGCTTCCAGTGGAGACCACTTATATGTCCAGTTTACCTGTAGTCTAGTAATGTATTTGAGATATAGAAATCGCCTTTTAGCCTATTTGGACTAAATAAAATTGAGGGACTGTAATGAAAATCTCTGATTATTTTAGACCAGTAACTGTACTTGGAATAGCTGGAGTGTTTTCTCTGTATACTGCCACAAAGGGCATAGTGGGAGAGACCAGTTAAAAAGCATTTGTTTCCCAGGAAGCTACTAGTGAGATTTGTACCTGCCATTTAATAATAATAATAATAATAATAATAATAATAATAATAATAATAATAATAATAATAATAATAAAGCAATGGATAGGAAGACCAGAAAAATAATGACAATGAATCATGCCCTTCATCCACGCAGTGACAGTGACAGACTTTTCTACCAAGGCAAATAGGTGGGCGTGGAATGCTACAAGTACATCAGATGGTTGAAGAAGAAAAAATGGCTTTGGAAGAATATCTGAAGAACAATGATGAAGATGCACTGAAATTAGTATATCAGGAAGGCTTACTAACTACTGGAGAGACCAAACTGGTCTACAAGAAAGACCAAATGAAGAACAGAATAGAGGCATAGGAAGACAAAGCACTACATGGCCAATACATTAAAAAAATAGCTGGGAAAGCAGATAATAACAAGACCTGGCAATGGCTAAGAGCAGGAAAATTGAAGAAAGAGACCGAGGGACTAATTCTGGCTGCACAAGACCAAGCCTTAAGGACAAATGCATATAAAGTCAAAATTGAGAAGACAGCAACAGACAGTAAGTGCCGCCTATGCAAAGAAGCTGAAGAAACAGTGGACCACTTGCTAAGCTGTTGCAAGAAGATTGCACAAACTGATTACAAGCAGCGGCATGACAAAGTAGCAACAATGGTGCATTGGAAGATCTGCAAAAAATATCATTTGCCTGTAAGCAAAAACTGGTGGGATCATAAAATAGAGAAAGTCATAGAAAATGATAAAATTAAACTGCTCTGGGACTTCAGAATTCAAACAGACAAGCACCTGCAACATAACACCCCAGACTTAACAATTGTCGATAAAAACAAAAAAGTCTGGATAGTGGACGTTGCAATGCCTGGAGACAGAAAAGACGAGAAAGAACTGGAGAAGATAACAAAATACAAAGACCTACAAATAGAAATAGAAAGATTGTGGCAAAAGTAAGCAAGGGTAGTACCAATAGTAATAGGCTTCTTGGGCGCAATCCCAAAACAACTGGAGCACCACTTGAACACCATTGGCATTGACAAATTTGCTATTAGTCAATTGCAAAAGGCGGCCTTACTAGGAACTGCTTCCATCCTGCAACAATATCTGTAATACCATCAAACATCCACATCTGCCTATCCCAGGTCCTGGGTAAGGACTCGATAGGTAGACCAAATGCCAAATCCAGTCTGAACATCTGGCTGACTGTGCGATGATCCACAATAATAACAATAATAATAATAATAATAAAGTTGGAAGGGACCTTTGAGGTCATCTAGTCCAACCCCCTGCTCAGGCAGGAACCCTACACCATTTCGGACAAATGGCTGTCCAGTCTCTTCTTAAAAACTTCCAGTGTTGGAGCATTTACCGCTTCTGGAGGCAGGTTGTTCCATTGGTTAATTGTTCTAACTGTCAGGAAGTTTCTCCTTAGTTCTAAGTTGCTTCTCTCCTTGATCAGTTTCCATCCGTGGCTTTTTGTCCTGCCTTCAGGCCCCTTGGAGAATAGCTTGACTCCCTCTTCTTTGTGGCAGCCCTTGAGATGTTGGAACACTGCTATCATGTTCCCCCTAGTCCTTCTCTTCGTTAAACTAGACATACCCAATTCCAGCAATCGTTCCTTATATGTTTTAGCCTCCAGTCCCCTAATCATCTTTGTTGCTCTTCTCTGTACTCTTTCTAGCTTTTTCTTTCTTTTAGCTTTTTCCAAATATTTTCATTCTATTTTCAAAATAGGGGAATACCTTTACAAAACAACTGTTTACAGTGTTCTTATTTTTTAAAAAAATTCTTACTGGATTATGGGCCTTTGATAAAATGAAAATTATACAAGAGGCCTGTACAATTCTTTGCAATATTTCAGTTTCCTATAGTTAAAATTTAAAAAAAAAATGTTGAAGAAGGGATTACAGGTAGTCCTTGATTTACACCATTGAGCTCAACATTTCTATTGCTAAGGAAGGCAGTCGTTAAGTGAATCATGCTCCATTTTACAACCTTTTTGCCACAGTTGTTAAGCCAATCACCTGTAGTTATTAAGTGAATTTTGTGTCCGTGAATCTGGCTTCCGCCATTAACTTTGCTTGTCACAAGCTAGCTGGGAAGGTCTCAAATGGTGATCGGGTGGCCTTGGCACAGTGCCACCATCATAATTACATACCAGTTGCCAAGCGCCCAAATTTTGATCATGTGACCATGGGGATGTTGAAACTGACATAAGTGTGAGAACCGGTCATAAGTCACTTTTTTAATGGTCATTAAATCAGTGGCTGTAAGTTGAGGACTATCTGTATTGTGACATCTGGAGAAATATTTGTAGGTACTTTAAAGGTACAACATCTGATATCCTGGTGAATTTAAAAAGAATATTCACAGCCATAATGGTCTGTCCAGACAGAAACCTTCCTGTTTTCTTCCCAGAGATCCTGCCTGCTTCCTTGATTTCAAGGATTTGGTTTTGCAATTGGGAATTATAAAAGCTAGACTTTCTGTCTTAAGTAGAGCCATGTACTTTTTCTTATCTTTTTCACTAAGGTAAAAAAAAAAGTTTTGTCTGTGAGAAAGAGATTATGCTATATGCTTTGTCTTAGAAGCCTTAAAGCAGTGGTTCTCTTTCTAATGCTGTGACCCCATAATACATTTCTCCATGTTGTGGTGACCCCCAAGTGGGTGTGGCCACCAATAAGAGGGAGTAGGACAGCTAGGGAAAAGGGAAAAAAATGGCAGACAGCATGGTTTGGCGACCCCCGTGAAATGGTCATTTGACCCCAAATGGGGTCCCGACCCACAGGTTGAGAACCACTGCCTTAAAGTATAGATCCTGTTGAAGTGAGGCTTAGTAATAAGTAATACTGATCTGGGTGTGGACTTCAAAACCCTTGTTGACTGCAGTTCCAAGACTTTAAATATGGTTACAATCTGTGTTAACATAAGCCTTAACATCCTGATTCAGCGGGGGTTATGTTTGTGCATATAGATAATGGAATAGAACTCATGCTAGAGAGAAGAAGATTGGGGATGTATTATCTCACAGTCTTCTGCTTCCCAGCCCTCAGTATTTCAGTCAACTTCTCCACACTCTGGTAAAACTTTGAAGCTGTGTATATTTTTAATTAGTAAAAAAAAACACCTTTAGCTACTTTAGTCTATTTGGGAAAATGTTGTTTAAGAAACACATTAGTAGGAGATAACAAGTTTTGACTTTTAGAATTGCTTGTTTTTATAAAGCTCTGCATTTTTATATTAAGGCTGTATTCTTATAAACGACTGTAAAATTAGCAAAGAGATGAAAAATTGGAATTTCTTAACTTACAGAAAGTCTGAAATGAAACTTCTACTGAACAAAAGAAAGATAAATAGCTTTTTGCATCAGTGTTATGTATGTTGAATGGTTTACTGAGCAGAAGGTTCATTTTTAATAATGTTACTCAGAATGTATATAAAACTCTGATAGATGCCTTCCTGTTTGCATTTAAAGTGAAATGCAAAATACAGTTTGTGCAGAAAATTGTGTAGTATGTTCAATAGAAAATTAGAATGAACTGTGAATTATAGCAGAACACAGGTTTTTTAATATGTCTAGTTTGCCAGCACGCTTTCTTGTTTATTATATTGTATAGCAGAGGCCCCCACTCCTTTGGGCACCAGGGCCCAGTTCTGTGGAGAAAGTTTTTTTCCATGGACCAGAGGGTGTGTGGTTTCATGTGCTGCTTGCATCCAGCAGATGGGGCTTCACTTGTTTGCAAGGCCCAGTTGCTGGTATGCTGTAGCCCGGTGCCAGTCCACGGACCAGGGGTAGGGGATCCCTGATGTACAGTACTTGCATTAATTTTTGTATAACTTATATTTAAGAAATTAAAACACATTTTCATATTATAGTCAGTCTTATTTAGATTATAGGGTTTATTCTGAGAGATAGTCAATCTCTATGGCTCTTGAAAAATGTTGAAATTGTATAAAGTTGTATAAAAATTACAAGAGTAAAATTAGATTTTGTTTTGTGGGGATGCATACACATACAAACACACATCTAAATGTATCAAGAAAAACAATGTTACATTGCAAGATAAAGGCTAGACTTTTTATAGGAATGCCATGCTGAAATGCTTATAAAGTGCATTTTTATTATCATAGTTCATGAAAAACTATGTGGTTCTTTTTCTTTTGAAAGTTGCTCCTACAGTAGGCTTATCCAAAATACAAAAACAAATTTTCTTGTTGACTAGTAGCATATTTGTACTACATATGGGTTCCTTAGGAAAGGAAAAAAAAAAGGGGGGGGGAGAGGAAAGAGAGAATGAGAATATAATCTCCAAATATATCTATCAGTTCCTATAATGGTAGATGAAACCTTGAAGAAAGCTACAACCAAGGTAGCAGGCAGTTAAAAGAAATCTGATTCCAGGGTAAAAAGGTAATTTGAGAAAGCATCTTAGACTTGACTTATCCCTTGTTCCCATGAAGATAAAGAGCAGAGGATTAACAGTAAATTCTCTGCAGGTTCCCATTATATAGAAGAATTAGACAAGGATGTCTACTTTCACCCTTGCTGTCTAATATTTGTGTGAAACCCTAGGCTTGTGCTATTATGCAATGTAGAGAGATTTACAGAATTTTTACATAATTCAACTGAATATAAACTGGTTTTATTTGCAGATGACATTCTTCTCTTTAGAAATAAAAAAGTGTGATGATGCAAATGATAAGTGCCTTTAGTAAAATAGGATATTTTACTAACTGGTCCAAAAAGTCTATGGAGATTCTCAGTTATCCAAGTAATGGTTGTCCCTAAGGTGCTGAAGTGAAGAAGCTTCTTGGATGAGAAGAGAAATGTCTTCAAGGAAAAACAAAGAAAGTCCAGTTGCCTTTTGAAAAACACCTTTCAGACAACTGATCCAAACAGAGTTGATGCCAGTAGGAAAAAAAAATTGGTTCTTCATCCATTTATCAATATTCAGTATTTGTACCCAATCCATTAAATATTTATATATATATATATTTTTTTTTCAATTTGGACAAATTTGGAATATACATCTATAGCACCTTTGTTGGGTGTATCATATTAGGATATAAATACAGTCAACTCTAGTATCTCTGGAAAAATTTATATTAATTAGAAAGCAATGGAATATATAATAAAAATGATCCTTTTTCTCATGCTAAATTGACTTTTTGGGAAAATCCAACATTAAATATTGTGAAAAAGATAGTTACATGAAAAATTGGTTGAAAACAGGGATATTGGACCAGTTGATAGCTAATGACGATGAATTTTTAACATTGGTTGGAAATTGTTTAGACCAACCACGTTTTTATCTTCAAGACACCTGAGATATTAGAACAGCTGATTAAATCCTTTAAAACTAAAAAATCTACTATTAATTTCTATAGACATTTGTTATCAAATATAGAGCTAGTTTGGTTTAATGGTTAAGGCATCAGACTAGAAACTAGAAGATTGTGAGTTATAGTCCCTCCTTAGGCATGAAAGCTGATTGGGTGATCTTGGGTCAATCACTCTCTGTCAACCTAACTCACCTTACATGATTGTTATTGTGAGGAAAATAGGAAGAAGGAGTGTTGTGTGTGTTTGCTGCCTTTGGTTATTTATAAAAATAATAAAGGTGGATGTAAATAAATACATTTAAAAATTAACACAGATCAATAAATCAATTTGATACGCAGACACTTAGAAATGATTGGAATAAAGAATTAGACAATGCTTAGACAATGGTAGAATGTCTTAACGTTTTAACGTCTTAATGTTTTAACGTTAACGTCTTAACGTTTACCTCAAAAAATAATGTTTGGAATTTTTTTGCCTTCATTACTTCTGTATTATATGAAAAGGATTCTTCAGGATAGAATTTACTTGAGATACAATAAGGATAATTCTTCTTTAAAACATGATTTTAGAATGTTTACTATGTTTTGGGAAAAAGTAGTGAACTACATAAATGTCGCTGTGCAATGAAACTAAAATTTTCAAAGGATAATATTCTGTTAAGTTACATACCTAATATGTGAAACTTAACAACTGGACATCATAAATGGATTTGTGTCCATACTATAGCTAAAAGGCAGATATTGCAACATTGGAAAGATAAATGTACAATATGGCCCCATTTATTCAATTGCTAAATTTATTCATGGGTTGAAGGCATGATTATATTTGCTGCTTATGAGCAGATTGCCTTTAGGTGTAGATTTTGTATGGAAAATTATAATAAAATAGGGGACACCTTTATACAAAATACAGTATGTTAAAAAATAGATTGTTATGTTAACATAATATACTAATGTTTGCACTAGATAATTATATATAGAATTGAACTGTATATTGTTGTAACAACATATAGATTGATAGATGATAGGTAAGTTTAATTTTATATTTTCTGTTACATGTTTTCACTTACATTTTAACAACAGTTACGGGTTGTTGTTGTTTTGATATGTCTCTTTGTGTTTTGTTCCTTTTGATTTTTTTTCTTTTTATCTTATTTATATATATATGAAAAGAAAGATAAAGGGGAGGAGGGGAAAAGCACATTTTTACTTGCACAATTCTGTTACTGTAACCCTATAATAAAGGTAGTATTGTCTTGTATGTCCTTGGATTCCACGTTTTGTCTGCCTTGGGTTCTGACAATAATTTTGTTGGTTCTTCTCCCAGGCACTGGGGGGGGGGGGAAATGGGAATTCTAGGTTGGGAATTGAGTTCAGTACATGTATATTTCGGGTAGGAGTGTTATGGTGCCTTGATTTTTTATCTTATTATATTTTGTTATTTTTCTCTGTTGCTTTTGTGAACCTGCCAGGGTTATTAATATAAAATGGGCAGTCATATGAATCTTTTAAATAGATAATGTACAATAAACAAATTAGATTGAGCCTTGTTTTAGAAAGATTTCTTAAAACAATTATATTGATGTACATGTATCTGAAAGCTGTCCTATGCTGATTATTTCAGCCTCTATATTTAAGAGTTTAGCAAAAATATTCTATGATATTGATTGTGTTTTATTTTGTAGATTTTTACTGAAAGTCTTCTATGTTCAAGCTTGCTGGAGAATATCCATTTAGCTGGGCAAATGATGCATTGCAGTGTTTGGTCAATAGATCCTCCCGTATCTAAAGGAAAAATGCAATGCAGAATCAGCTATGAGAAAAGCATTGAATTAGTTTTGGCTGCTAGCCGAGAGTATTTCAATTCTTCAACCAATCTGACTGATACTTGCATGGATTTGGCCAGGTGATCATATATTTATTCTAATTGTTCCATCTCTACATTTAAAGTTATGGTATTTCTTCGTAAAAATATATCTTTTACACTCTTATTTATACTCTGCACCATGTTTTCTTTGCATTTCTAAGACTAAATGTATTTATAGTAATGTTATTAATAGGTTCTGGGAACAAAATTAAATCATTGTGATGACATAAAAATGCCATTATTTTTAACCAAATTAAAAAGAATGATAACTCGTTAGAAGATAGGAGAGATTATTTAGAAAACATTGTTATCCTTATTTAATGCTTTTTTCCAGCTGTGCTTGTTCTAAAGATTGAGGTTGATCTTCATTGTTTCTAACACTCCTCCCATTTAGGAATGGAAGCTTGTTCCAAAGACTCAGTGGCATTACGAAGGTCTCTGGACACATTTCCTAGTATTTGAGCTAAAGAGACTAGAATGTATTGACTGAGCTGAAAGGTGAAAGGTTTATATGATTTGAAGAGATCCCAGAATACTGGAAAAATCCAAAAACCTGTTAACATAATTTTACTTGGAGAAAAATTTAGTCTTAAATTTCTCCCTTTTTTTAAAAAAAAGGTCCTGCTTACAGCTCATTACAGACTGTCCACCTGTTATTCAAGAGGAACTAGATCTTATTCGTTCTCTTAGCTACTTTGAAGAATTTGGTGTGAAAATTTTACCGTTACAAGGTACAGTTTAGCTCTATCATCTCTATCTCGTATGTGTTCTTTATAGCAATTTTTAAGTACTAGCCTTAAGGTTTCATATTTGTGCAAGTAGTAGGTACAATCATTGCATTTCTGTACTCTTGTATAAATAATCTAATTGGCTCAGTTATTTGCAAAAAGAATATATTTTTGAAATCTCATTAAATTTAACGAAAGACTGAGGTAAATGCCTCACTTACATCATTGTAATTTACCTTGGTTTGATTTTACCAACATTTCCTTTTTAGGTTATATTGCTCAATGTCCTCCTAGCCTTTACATTAAAACATTTAGGTTATATTATTAAAACCTAATAAAGCAAAACGAAGCTAAAGAATATCCACTGTTCTCCATGGCTTATCTTCAATCTGACCATTTAATCCTAATGTTATAGTTGCATCTTCCTTTCCCAGCCGCTTTGGAATCTAAAAACCCACATTTTTAAAATCCAAAGTATTTCTCATATTAATTAGCATAGTCTTCAAGACACTTACTCACTACCGTAATATGACTAAATCTAGTTTATACAAAACCAATTACTACTATATCTCCCCTAAAATATATATACATTCTCCAGCAGGATGGCTGTAGAGTCCAATGGATGGGTTCTATGACGGCCTTCCTGCCTGGCAGACTGGGTAAAAACTTCGGCCACACCCCTTCCTTTGGGCGTGACCCCAGTTTTGACTCAGTCTCGAAGCCTGGTAGAAGTGCGAGAAGCAGCTCTCAGAACACAAAAAGGAATTTACTCCAAAAAAGAGAAAGGAATCCCTTCCTCCTTCCAATTTGAAAGAAAGGTTGTCTAGCAACAGATAGGAGTTTGAAGAGTGCAGCCAGGATCGCCGGAGTGGTGAGAGGGGCGTCAGGGCGGCTAGCCGGGGAGGCTTGGAACGGGGCCGGATCGCTCGCCGATACCCGGCCCGCCGAGCAGCTGTTTGGCGCGGGGACCGCGCAGCGCCGGAAGAGCTCAGCCGGGTTGCTCGCCGCCCTCCGGCCCGACAAACAGCTCAGGGGCCGATTCGGCTCGGCCGAAGGGACGAGGCACCGCTCAGCGCGAAACAGCTGAGCTGCGCGGGAAGTGGCAAACCGCGGCGCCGCTCGGCACCAATCAGCTGAGCGGCGCGAGAAGAGCCCAGCGCCGTTTTCTTTCTCCTCAGAGGAGAGGCGCAGCCCCCTTAAGACCAAAAGAGTTACCTTATTGTTGATTTGAAAATTCCGCCATTGCTGAACCTCGTGGCTCCCCGGGTTGCTACTGGGAGGCGTGGCTTCCTCCTATTCGCCATTTTGAACGAGCGGATCAACCCGCCGTTTCTCCCCTGGTGGGCGGGGCTACCACCCGGACTCCATTTCCCGGCAGACAAAGAAGGGATTCTTATGTAAGGGTCTGAGGTTCCCTCAAACGTTGAGGCAAGAGGAAGGAGGAGGGAAACTGCCAACTGCTCGATCGTGGTCTGCTGCCACAGCCACGGACTGGGGGAGAGAGAGAGATTAAACTGCACCTTGACTAAACTAGGTGAGGAGGTGAGGAGGAATATTTTTTCTGACTGTTCCTATAGTGACCTTTAGTCACTGCCTTGCAGGATCTTCTGTCAAAAGAATCCTGTCTGTCCGGCCATTGTTTGTATAGGCAGAAGAGGGCAACAGCTCCAAGCATCTGCATCGGATCTGCGTATCGTATTCCCCCACTCCAGGCATTGCCTACTCGGGGTGTCTGGCACAATGGCAGACAATGTCTCGTATTCAGTCACACAGGTCCCTCAATTGTCCCCCCCACAGCAACAACAAAAACGCAGATCCTCTGAATCAGAGGTGGGGGGGAAGAAGAAGGCCAAAACAAAGCACCTTACTCAGAAGGGACAGTCCAAAACGGCTGAGCGAGAGGCTTTGAGGAGACATTTGGCTTTAGAAAGACAAATTAGCAGAGCACAGAGAACCAACCCCAATGGGACAAATATGGTTTCCCCTGTCCCTGGGGTGGCACCCAGTTCAGAACCTACTGCCGAGGAAGTGCTCAAGACTTGGTCTCCTCCTGGGGAAACTGAACAGTTAGATTCCTCCACTCACTCCTCACCAGCTTCTTCACCCGACCACACTCCAGCGTGTCACCCCAGCGACAAAGCGCAGGAGAACATGTGGTCAGCACAATTCCAGGCATTCATGCAGGATGCCTTTTCCCAGTTCATGGCTTCTAAGGGACAAGTGGCCTTTCACACACCCCATAAGGGACGAGCTAGGCCGCCCCCTACCAACATTTCTGAGACTTCCTCTCAAATAGGAGAGGGTGACTCATTAGACCTTGACATGTCAGACATGCCCCTCTCGGAGGATGAGGAGACCGCACCTGAGCAGGCGACGAGCTCTGGCCTCTTTAACCCAGCGCTCCTTAAATCACTCCTGATAAAGGCAGTCTCTACGGTCAGCCTAACATCAGTACAGGAAGAGAAGCCCTCTACAAGCAAGGAGGCCAATCCTCTATTTGCCAAAAAGGTTCCACAGGATAAGTACAGTCCATGTCCGGAGGTCTTCATGACCACGGTGGAGGAACAATGGTCCTCACTTGCAAGCCCACCGGCACCTAACAGCACGGAAAGAAAGCTTTTCAACCTATCTCCCTCCTTCTCGAACATGTTAGAGGTTCCCACTGTAGATAACCCATTGATCTCATTATTTTCTACCTCCGCGATTCCAGGAGACATGGCGGAGGTCTTGAAACCCGAGGAGAAGAAATTTGAACACTCCCTCCGTCGTTCCCACACGGCTGCAGCCTGGGCGGCCAGAGCAGCCATTTCATCATCATTCTTCGCGAGGGCCTGTATCATGTGGCTGAGGGAACTGCAAGGCACGGTGCCTCCAGACCAGGTCAGAGTACACCAAACATTGGCCAAGCTCCTCGCGGCCTCCCAATTCGTGTCTGACGCTTCGCTGTACGCAACAAAGTATGCGGCAAGATCCATTGCGGCCACAGTGGCCTCGCGTAGGCTACTGTGGCTCAAAAATTGGAAGACAGACCTGAGGTCCAAATGGCGTCTCTCGACGTCCAAATACAGCGGAGAAGCTTTATTTGGTTCCATACTGGACCCACATATCAGCGAAGGCAGAGACAAGAAGAAAATTCTAGTACATCCATCAAAGAAGTTAGACAGGAGAGGCAGTCTAGATTTCCAGAGACAGGGCTCCCGTTCAGGAAGCCCCTGGGAATGGAGACAGCCCTTTCTATCAGGGCAATCCTGGGACTGGCCCAGAGGCTCACGATCCTTCTACCCGAGACAGGATCGACCCCAGGATCGCCAAAGCCCGGGAGCCAGAGGCCAGTTCCAGTCCAGACGTCCATATAGGGGAGCGGGGGGCAGATCCTTTAAGCGTACTAAGTGACGCCAAACAGGACACTCCCATCGGGGGTCGGTTAGGAAATTTCATCGAGGTCTGGGAGCAGACCACTACCGACGCCTGGGTCCTGGAAACGATCAGGCATGGCCTGACCTTAGACTTTTGCTCTCCCCCACCAAACCGGTTCATCAGATGCCCCATCTCCAGAAAGGTACACAAGACAAGGCTGATAACTTCGGCCATAGCCCACCTCCTGTCAATTCGGGCCATAGAGAGGGTACCAATGGAAGAGGAAGGAAGAGGATTTTATTCCATCCTCTTCGTTATCCCGAAAACATCAGGAGGGTGGAGAGCAATATTGGACCTAAAGGGCCTGAATTATTACATAAAGTACAGAAGGTTCAAGATGCACTCCTTGAAATCCATCCTAGCCAGCATCAGGGAAGACGATCTACTATCCTCAATAGACCTCACAGAGGCGTACCTACACATTCCCATCCATCCCAGCTACCGGAAATTCCTCAGATTTACCTACGCGGGCCGGCATTACCAATACAGGGCCCTACCCTTCGGGCTATCCTCAGCACCAAGGGTGTTTACCAAAATCCTAGCGGTAATAGCGGCCCATCTCAGGCTGATGCCGGTTCACGTACAGTTCTATCTGGACGACATCTTGATTCAGTCCAGATCTCAGGAACAAGCAAGGGCAGATCTCAAGACCACAATCCAAACCCTACAGGGGCATGGGTTCTCGGTCAATTTAAACAAGAGCCACCTCACCCCCTCAAGGAGACTGCAACACCTAGGCGCAGTGATAGACACGTCACAGTGCAGGGTATACCTTTCCCAGGAGCGACTGATCAGCATATCCAAGCTAATTCACCAAATTCAAAAGATCAGGAGAGTGCCCTTGATACAGCTCTCGAAACTCCTGGGAAAGATGATATCTTGCATGGGCATCATCCCATGGGCAAGGCTCCACTCGAGGGAGTTACAGTGGTTCCTTCTACCCTACCAGAGGAGGAACCTCAGCACCTCCAACAGGAGAGTGGCGGTACCAGTACAGGTGAGGAGATCACTAAAATGGTGGCTATCCCCCACGACACTCAAGGGGAGCATATTCAGGGAACCGAACAGGGTCACACTCACGACAGACGCGAGCTTGTTCGGATGGGGAGCCCACCTGGGAACCCAGATAGCACAGGGCCAGTGGGGACAGGAGGACCTGTCACACAGCATCAACTGGTTAGAACTCCGGGCCATCCACCTGGCTCTTCGTCATTTCTCACACCTAGTAACGAGGAGGCACGTCCTCATACTAACAGACAATGTAGCAGCCAAGGCACATGTAAACAAGGAGGGAGGAACGCGATCAGTGGAACTGATGAAGGAGGCATTGGCTCTGGCTCGCTGGGCAGAAACCAATGTGAGTTCCATCAGAGCGGAACACATCTCAGGGGAGACAAACACCCAGGCAGATTCCCTGAGCAGAGCCAAGGTGGACCAGTCGGAATGGCGTCTGGATCCAGCTCTGTTCGAGGAGATCTCCCGGAGATTCGGACAACCGCATCTAGATCTATTTGCCAACCACATGAACACACAACTTCCCAGGTTCTTCTCCAGATTCCCGTCTCCGGGATCGGAGGGAACGGATGCTCTCAGGCGTCGGTGGCCGGAGCAACTGCTGTACGCCTTCCCACCGCTGCCTTTAATACCGGCGACCATACGCAAGTTGATCCTGGAAGGCGCAGAGATAGTCTGCATTGCCCCTCATTGGCCACGGCGCCCGTGGTTTGCCGACCTCGTGGACCTTTCGATATCACCCCCGTGGAGGATTCCCCCGGACAGGGTAAGGCTCAGCCAGGGCAAGCTGGCACACCCAGACCCCCAGTGGCTACAACTAGCCGCCTGGCATTTGAGCGGCAAAGCTTAGCCAAACAATCTTATTCGGCAGGGGTGATATCGATCATACAGGCATCACGAAGAGCGTCCACTAACAGGATTTACGACGCTACATGGAAGGGGTTTTGTAGGTGGTGCGTTCCTCTTCGCCTAGATCCGACCGCAGTATCCATCCCTAACATCCTAGATTACCTCTTGGAGGGTCTTAATAAGGGCCTATCAGTCAACACTATCCGCAGACAGATATCGGCTCTTTCAACTGTACTCTCCTGCGACAACTTAACCTCCCTAGCGCAACATCCAGCGATCAATGCATTTTTAAAAGGGGCAACTAACACAAAACCCCCCGTCATACACAGGTACCCGTCTTGGAACCTGCCTAAGGTCCTTCTAGCCTTGACATCAGCACCCTTCGAGCCCCTCGAATCTTGTTCCCTCCATCACCTATCACTGAAGGTAGCTTTCCTTGTGGCAATTACTTCAGCAAGGAGAATTTCAGAACTAGCAGCACTGTCAGTAAGGAAGGATCTATGTACCTTCTTCAAGGACAAGGTCGTTCTTAGACCAGATCCGGCCTTCATCCCGAAGGTAAATAGCATCTTTAACAGATCTCAGGAACTGACTCTTCCTGATTTCTGTCCAAAACCCAAACATAGGCTAGAACATAGATGGCACAAACTGGATGTGCGGAGAGCGCTGTGTTTCTACGTGAAACGCACTTCGGCCTTCCGAAAGACCGAAGCATTATTTGTGTCTTTTCAACCATCATCTATGGGAAAGAAGGTCTCTTCTTCTACCATAGGCAGGTGGATCAGAGCCTGCATAGCACAAGCCTACACCTCGCAGGATCTGCCAGCACCCACTCATGTGACTGCCCACTCAACTCGGAGCGCAGCCACATCTGCGGCGTGGCTAACGCAAGCACCGGTAGAAGAAATTTGCAAGGCCGCAACCTGGTCTTCACCTTCGGTTTTCATCCGGCGTTACCGTTTAGATTCCCTTGCAGCAGCAGACGCGGCCTTTGGCAGAAGAGTCCTTCAGCAAGTCGTATCTGCTCAGAGTTCGGTAGCCTAGACATTCCCTCCCAGGGGGACATGAGGGCTTTGGTATGTCCCATCCATTGGACTCTACAGCCATCCTGCTGGAGAAGGGGCGTTGTCTTACCTGAACGCCTTTTCTCAGCAGGATGATGTAGAGTCCAAGCCCACCCAGAGGATAGGTCTAGGCAGGGAGATAATAACGATATAATAAAGAGCTGCAATGTTAATTCCAACAAAGTTTCTCGCCTAAGTCAAAACTGGGGTCACGCCCAAAGGAAGGGGTGTGGCCGAAGTTTTTACCCAGTCTGCCAGGCAGGAAGGCCGTCATAGAACCCATCCATTGGACTCTACATCATCCTGCTGAGAAAAGGCGTTCAGGTAAGACAACGCCCCTTACCTGTAAATTCTTATGTCTACTGCAGCTATATCATGACTTTGGTTCTTTAAACCTGTCAATCATTTCTTTTGGAGGATCTCAACAACTTCATGTAACCATTGGTATCATCGCCATCATCTCAGCTGGTTCATTCTTGCTTCATTTACTTGTTTTATGATTCTTTCATTCTTTCTGTATGACCAAAGCAGCTCTGTACCCCTTTCATACTCTTTATTTACTTTTGTATTTAATCCACATTTATCATTAATTTATTTTTTATCCCTATTGCTTCTTATTTATGTTTTTAAATAATCAATACCTGCTGCATTCAACTTAACTTCCACTTTTCTGCTTTTTACCTGCCTTGATATTATCAGATATTCTCATATATCATCAGTCAAGTCAGTCATATTAATGGTACATTTTTTGTTATTGTTGTTTTGTTTTTCCACTTTCTATTTTTTGGGAAAAAAAACTTTCAGGAGTTTTTAATGCTTCTGTTATTTGAAAATGACTAATGTTACTATTGCTTAAAAAAATCTGTTTAATTTAATGAGTACAGAAGGCCATTAATTACAGTGTCAGCTGTAGTGTATACAAAAACATTTTTAAAACTAGATTGCATATCATTATGTATTTCTTTTTACACTTTAAAAACAGACCACCATACAAAAGGTAAAAAGAAAGATACCGCCTGTAGGCTCATAAACTAAACACGGAATATGAAAATCCAAAATTATTTATCATGGAAAAAATAATATTAACTCTGAATTAACAGAGTGGAAACTAAGATGATCCTCCTGGGTTGGGCTGTACTATCTCATATTTCATGTTTTCATATTTTCAGTGTTTTGAAAAGAAATAAAGATTCCACTATAACATGATGATGATTTTTATCCTCCAAAGATAGAAGATGCCCATTTATAAGATATTTCCTAGAATAACATTTTTTTCCACATGAATGAAGGTGTTCCATCGTCCTTTAAATTTGAGTTCCTCGCAGCATTTGAAAGGAGTTTTTGCAATGCACATCAGTGTGAAAGAGGCCGTTTTTGAAGTAGCCAAATAGCTTTTTCCTCAGCTGCTTCTTACATTTCTCCACACGCATATATGTATATAACTGATCCACTTCTGGTTCATAGTCCCAGCTAAAGTGTTGTCTGTGCCTTCAAAACAATCACACTGAATCTCCCAGAGGATGTTTAAGCTTTAGCACTTCACAATGAGATGCTTCATTTGCACCAACAAGGTTTATGAAATACCAGTTTGAATGCTTTGCATAGGCCTACTTTAAATATACATTTACATTTATAGCACTCATGAACACTTTACAAGAATCTGCCTCAAATATAATTTTATTGCATTTCTTAATAAACATATTTTCTCTCTAGTGCGCTTGTGTTCTGATCGACTCAGCCTTATCAAGGAATGTCTCTCTCGGCTGCCTACAAACTATAAGCAATCTGCCAAGTTTTTGGGACTTGCAAATTTACTGAAGGTTGCAGGTAAAATCAAATATCATTCCTAACTTGTGTTGGTTGGTTGTCACAGGCTGTTTTATCTATATCCAATGTCAGTGGGCTCCCAAAGCTCCAGAAAGCCAACACAACTCCCCTTGGTCTTTATTTGAATACTCTTGTGTTATCAATACACTATAGGAGAGTTCTTTTAATCAGTTTCAGAAAACCATTTGATATATATTGCTCTTCTTTTTTTCCCCTGTCATTACCAAGATAAAAGGAAAAATAATATATCTGTTTTATTCTCAGGCTGCTCTGTTACCACTCTCATAGTGCTTTGCTATTTGACAGACAGAAAACACAAGTTCCTGACCTGCAGTGTATATACTCCTGTCATTATAAAGAACGAATTCTTAATCTCTACAGTTGTAAATCTTAATGTGCAAAGCCAAGGAGGCTTTTAAAATGGAAAATGATAGAGTGTAGTATATGTTTGGCATGTAGTTGTGAGAGTAAAAGTAGGTGTGTATTAAACTTAAGTTTTGAATTAGCCTTATTGATTAATGAAAAATTCCACTGTCTCAGAATATCATTTCATATTGTTTGCTGATAAATTTATAGAAATCCCAAATAACAATTTCAAGTGGGCACTGTGCAAACATCCTAGCTGTGCAAACATCTTAGCTAAAAGATATTGGGGCTTTTTGCATACACTTTCTTAATATCTCATGCATATATGTATATTAAATTATGGGCTGCCTGATTCCTTTGTTAATTGTTATTTACTTATTTTGATTTGTTAATCAAATTTATATAGCCAGCCATCTCACCAAAAGTGACTATTTTCTCTATTTAAAGAGAAAAATCCATAGTCAACCAATGTTGGTTTTAACGGCATGGCTTTCTATTAAGGCAAACATCTCCTTCTCCAAAACCTGAGGTGGAGAGAACTCTCTCTCTCTGCCCCTGAATTACAATCCCTCAGCTATCTTGCATTATTATCCTGCCATATGTTCCTCTTTTTCCTCTTCCAATTTTGCTAATCATTGGCCCTGGTCACCAAAAGTTTGTTCATCCTTTTTGTTAAGCATGCTACTTATATGATAATTTGTGAAGTTTCAGATCTTTTTTGAAATCTAGTGCAAATGAGATCTTGGGGAGTAGATATGATGGATTTGTGCATAACTGAATAACTATATTGAAAGTAACTTTTGAAGTATGCTGAAGTGGTATGAGTAATGAAGAATACAGAGATTTTGAGAATAGAGATTTCTCTTCTGCCAGAAGTGAACGAATTAATTCACTGCTTTGGTAAACATGAGTGTCGAAGTATGAGCGTACTCCTTTTATTTAACACAGAACTCAAGCCAGTTTTTTATTACAAAAAATAATCATTCAAGTGCCCCCAACCACTTCAGAACGTCTGTATTCTTCATTACTTGATCTCGTCTTATAAGATTTTTTTATCTCCCTGAGAGAGCATGCTAACTCATTATAATGTCTACCTATTTATTTTGAATATCTTCCTAACTCTCACAAAAAATAACTGAGGATGCAAAGCACATTGATGACTCTGGTAATTCCAGTAATCTTTTGCTAATTCTAAAAGTCTGTAATGACTCTTATACTCATACAATGATAGCAATATGTTTCATCTTAAATTGAAACTATAGATCAGTTGGGCACACTAATTTGAGTTTTGGTCTGCAGTCATCCTTAACTTTATAATAGCTTCTTTGAAAAAAATAATATGAATCCATTCTATTAAAATTCACTGAAAGATAATCTAAAACATAAAACGCCTATAGAGATTCTCAGTCATCCAAGTCATAGTTATCCCAAGATGCTTTTTCAGGAGGCAACTGGACTATCTTGTTTTTCTTTGAAGATGTTTTGCTTCTCATCCAAGAAGCTTCTTCAGCTCTGAAGAAGAAGAAGAAGAAGAGCTGAAGAAGCTTCTTGGATGAGAAGTGAAACATCTTCAGAAAAACAAGAAAGTCCAGTTGCCTTGTGAAAAAGCATCTTTGGGATAAATAAAACATTAAGTTGCACTTTGTTCCTCTTTTGGAGATAGAAAGTATAGCTAGAAAACAGTGTTGGGGGACTATACTCAGGGATTATGGTGCAAGATTTTTTTCCCCAGGCAGCCAAGTAACTCAAACTGATATCCATTAAATTCAGCCTTTTTCTTTTATCAACTAGGCCTGGCCCTGTCTGCTGTTTTCAGTTCTCCGGCATGTAGGAGGACGTTTTGTCTATCATTTACCATACATTTCAGAAAGTTTCTGAGTTCATTTGAGACCCAGAACTATTGTGGGAATCCAATTATACTGTAAAGAGTTTCATTTTTAATTGAGAGGGGTCAGCCCTTGGGAAATATATGAGAAAGATAGAAATCAATGAAATATTTGAAAAAAGATTTTAATAACTAAGATTCATGATTAGTTTATATAATCAAAGATTGATTTAAGGGACAAAGGACAATGCAAATTAAGATAAAAATAACAGTCTGCATTTATTTACAAAGAACTAAAAAAAGCAGGATAAATAAAGTATGTTATCATAGAAGCCAACACAGAAGAACACTAGCTATGTGTTGCAGAAACCTGGAAACCAGTACCTGGAGTTGTGCACCAGAAATAAACTATAAGTTGTACAACTTGCATAACACCATAATAATAATTTTTCATAAACATAATCCTACTTCATCTTACTATATTATTTTCAAGAAGTTTCCTGTCTCATCTGTTTATGAAAAATAAGCCCAAGAACTTTCTGCTTTTACTCTCTTTATTAGCTTTCTACAATGTGGTGCCCTGCAGAGATGTTCAGTTGCAATTGTCAGCAACTCATGGCTATTACTGCCAAGGAGTGATATAGAAGCTGGGCTTACCACCACTGGAGAGCATTGTGTTAAGGAAGAGTGGGTTATATTCTCATTATTTTTTACTGGCTGAAGTTAAGAGAGACGGGAATTAGACTTCAAAATAAATGTTCATAGATTAATTCTATAATAGATTTTTAAAGACACTGTTTCATGGCAGCTTCAACGATGCTTGGCATCTAGCCTTCATGGAACAGTCCACAGAAGTGACCTGCCATTCATTTATTGCTTTTTAACCTTGAAAGAATCTGGCATAAATATTGCTCACAGCTGTTACTAGGTGCAGGGATTGCTCTTCGAATCATGAATTATGAAAGTCCTTTTAAAATAATTTTTGTTTCAAAATGACTGTCAGCCTAGGTTGACCAGACAGGAAACATGACCAGAAGAGCTAATTCTACTTTTTTGTAAGGCTACATTAGCAAAATATTGCAAGTATACATTTCCCACTGTCTCCTTCACAGCCTAAGAACTTAGGGAAGGTCCCTTCTGAGCCTTTTGATTTGCCCATTATGCAGCTGCAGGCTAGGCCAAGGCTCAGGAATTCTGGGAGTTGAAGTCCACGAGTCATAAAAGAGCCAAGGTTGCCTACCCCTAGGTTAGGCCCTCTCCTGTCTGACCATTCCCTAGGAAGCATCTCTCCGGCTCCTTCCTCAGGGTCTTTCTTACATACCATTATAATTACAGTGACAATCATGGATTGATTTTTTTTTTATAATTAGTGATTATATATAGTCTTTTTTTCTAGAGGATGAAAAGAGGTTTATATTTTGAGTGGTAAACCAACATGATCTTATTATTGAGGAAGATCTGAAGACTGTATAGATGTTAGTTAGATTTTGCTGGTGGTACAGTACTTGTACCTTACATGTCATCATGAAAGGATGTTTCCTAAGCACGAGATCTATGTGTCAGAGCACAGAAGAGCATGAAAAAAAATCTACCCATGGTAACAATAAAAATAATAAGTTGTGAAGAAGCTTCTGTCCATTTATCAGTTGTGTTTATCAGTTGTAATAGCATGACTTCTGTCCTGTATACATCAACTGCATTAGAAGTTACAAAATGTTTTTTTATTCTGATTTCTATGATGTGTTATAATGATAGTATATCCAGAATGTTCTGCACATCATTGGATGCATTGGCTGTCCCTGTATTCAGACTACAGTGTTTTATGCCTTACAGTGTTCCCCTTCCCCAGCTGGCATATTAGTTACAATATTCTGGGAATATATTTCCATATATTTACTGATTAATACCTTTGTGATAAGTGATACAGTTGCTTCCTCTGTTCTTAGTATATAAAGTAGTTACTTTATCTTGCCTGGCACATAGGCAGTTTTTCAGAGGAAATACATCTTTCATCTTCGTTACTTCTGTTTTTCCAGAGGTAACTAAGATTATATGCTGTGATTTAGCTTCTTAGAGTTATTCTTTAATGCCTAAATTTAAATTTTTATTTACTTACGGAATGTATATCCCAACTTTATGCTAAAAAACTTGTTCAATTGGTAGATGCCAATTTTAGAAATCAGCTTTGAAAACAAATTCCCATTCAGAATAAACAAATCAGCTAAATATGCAATAAAATATAATTAAAAATGCACTATTGGTTTCCACTAAAACCTATATCCATAAAATATTACATTATATGTGATTATTTTTTTACTTCTTTATACATAGCACATGCTCCTTCTAATGCTGTGTTCAATTTTTAATGGTTTTATGCACCTGAATTTGAAAAAGGGCAACGTCTAAATATTTGCTTGGACTATTATTTTAACTGCTTTTGGTTCTTTAAACAGTAGACAACACAGAATTTTCAGTAGTAAATGTCACTGGGCATCTTGGATAAAGCAGTTCTTCATTTAAATGTCTGGCAACAAAGATGAAAAAACTACTGCATTGTTGAGGCGTATAATTCATTATATTCCTTGTATCTAGTAGTTTAACTTCTTGAAGTGTACCTGTCAAATAGCATAAGTATAAAACTTTCATTAGAAATTAATTTTACTTATATAATTCCTGAATGTTTTAATTTTTTGTGTCCCAAGAAGTATGATGAGTATGTCTGATTATAAGAATAAGAGCTGATTAATAAATCCACAAAGGATAAGAGTTGGAGGAACTCCATGGTTAGGCTATAAAATTGTGTATGAATATAGGTATAGGCTTTCCTGCCTGAGCAGGGGGTTGGACTAGATGATTTCCAAGGTCCCTTCCAACTTTATTATTATTATTATTATTATTATTATTATTATTATTATTATTATTATTATTATTATTATTATCGATCATCGCACAGTCAGCCAGATGTTCAGACTGAATTTGGCATTTTGTCTACCTATCGAGTCCTTACCCAGGACCTGGGATAGGCAGATGTGGATGTTTGATGGTATTACAGATATCGTCGCAGGATGGAAGCAGTTCCTAATAAGGCTGCCTTTTGCAATTGACTAATAGCGAATTTGTCAATGCCAATTGTGTTCAAGTGGTGCTCCAGTTGTTTTGGGATTATTATTATTATTGTTGTTATTATTATTATTATTCAATATAATCACATTGAATGATGAAATATCTGCTTGTCATCCTATCAGGATTAACAGTTTCTATTAATCAGTGAACATTTGTATAATAAGGAGGATGTAAAAGAGGATGTTTTGCTGTATTATCTTGATCTGTCACGCAAACTCAATTAAGAAAAAGCAATTTCTGCCACATCTAAATATGCCCACATTTCTGACAAATAGAATTAATTGATAAATTTACTGTTTTATTAAATTTGAATTAATTATGTCAATTTGGATATGTCTTAAGTGATGTGGTGGCCTAGAGGTGGAGCTCTTGCCTTACAATTAGGAGGTCCTGAGGTAGCAGCAAATATTTCTTTTTCTGGATGCAAAGAGAAAATATCTGCTGTGAATTCCGCTTAGGCATCAGGAAAGGCATCCGGCCAGTAAACACTCAGCTCCATTCAGTCACCCCCAACCCCACCCCAATACAAGGGATTACAGGATCATTAAAAAATAAATAAATTTGGGTTCTTGGAAAGTGGGTAACATGGTCATTTGGTTGAAATGTTGTAAAATAGTGCCTGTCTTATATACTATTAGCCAGTTACTTTTGTAGCTGTCTATTCCATTTTTAATTAATATCAGGCACCAGTAAGAATATAAATATATAAATTATTTTGTAGGTGATGACCAGATGGAGAGAAAAGGACAGGTTTTGATACTTTTAGTGGAACAAGCACTCAAATATCAGGATTACAAAGCTGCAAATATGCACTGTCAGGAACTTATGGCTTCAGGTAGAGTATATCTGCACCCCATCCTTGTGTACAAATGGTTATAAAAATAATATTGGGAATTTTCTGGATTGTATAAAATACCATGTTGCCCTCTGCTTTTCTCCTGAAACTTGATCCGAGCCTATTATTTGTTATTTGTGAGGTATCTGTAGATATGCTATGATATCCTTCTGATCTGGAAGATTCTTGTTTTCTAGTACAGAAGCCTTCAAGCCATTCATTGTCTCATTTTTAAATATGGGAAAGAGTATTTGTATATTATATTTGTATGTTGTATGTGTATGTTGAGTGAACCATATTGTGATGAGATAGAGTTGGATATTACATCTCATGTGACAGTGAGATGGGCAACATATAAATTGAATACATAAAATAAATATACTGTGTAGAAGGAGTTATTGAGGATGGAATGATGAATGAATATAGTTAATACATTATCTATTTCCATTCTGTGTCCTTTTTGTAATATCCATGGCAGGATACTCTAAAAGCTGGGAGGTTTGTAGCCAGTTAGGACAATCAGAAGGATATCAAGACATGGCCGTTCGGCAGCAGCTCCTGGCCTATGCTTTGACACACTGTCCCCCAAGTGCCATAGAACTGCTATTGGCAGCAAGCAATATTCTACAGGCTGAGGTATGTCGCAAATTTCTAAAGCCCTATTTACTGCATGACTAAAGAATAACAAGTTTCATCTTTATGCTAGTAGAACATGGAACTGGACAGCTGCTTTGAATAAAACAGTTAAGTATCAGAACAAAGCCAAAATGATATATATGGGTTTGTTTTGCTCCTTACATAAAATTCTATTTTCAATCAGTAAACTTAAAAAAAACACACAGTTTGTTATACTGTACACTAGGTGTTAAAAGCACATTCTTATTTGACTAATCAGTAAATGGAATGGGAAAATACCTAATATTACAATGTTGTGTTTTTTTTTTAAAAAAAGTATCCTTATCTTTAGGAATTGATTGAGGGAGAACGAAATAACAGGAATAAAATTCACACACCCTTAGCTTTTTGTTATGCATAAATATATCAGCTACGCTTCTTCAAAAAAACCCTGCTGGTTTATGGATGACCTGTGGTGCTTGCTAATGACATTCATCATTTCAAAAAAGAAGCAAAAAATTAAAATAGCCCTTTTTTATTATTATTCCTGCATAAGTTTGTAGTACCGTAGCAGTTGCAGAAGAGTGAGAGGAGCAGACTAACTGGTCAAGGGCATTTATGGTTTACAAATAACTATAAGAAAGATTTTTATATTCATTCAGAGAGTTATTGCATTGTGTTTTTTTGCCATTATCCATACAAGATTTCCACTTTGCTTTATCCTTTCTTTGTCTATTTCCATTTGTTGTAATATGAAGAGTAAATGTAGCCATTAGTCATAGGAATTACATTTTATTATGCCAGTCTTTCCTAGAAGGAAATTTATGAAATGATGATGGTGAAGATATGTGAGCCCAATCAAAAGGTAGAGTTTCTAAAGCTTTCTGCTACCAGGAACATAGTAATCTGGAGAGTTCTTAGAGTAAATGCAGTTTTATTTCCATTTCTTACTACAGATTCTGCAGCACTATATGTATTTATGTTGCTTCTAAGTTAATGTAATCACCTTTAAAATTCTTGCTCCTTGTGCACTTTCTTTTTTATATCTTCCTTTATATCGATTGTTCCTCATGATATGCATAGAATACATAGAATATATTATATAGGTTTCTCTCCCCCCCCCATTGTTTTAAATGATTACAGGAAAGGCATAGATTCTGATTTTTAAACAGACTATGTTACATATGTGTTTGTATCACGTTGTAAATCAGATTATGCTCCCATTTGAAAAACAATTTAAATTATTTTGGGGGTGAGGGGGGTGAAAAATGGTCACTACCATATTCAGTCTTGATTTGCCCAGAATGATTTTCTAAATTCCACCAATAGATTCTTTAACAAAATGTGTAATTTTATTTTTAGGTTCTTTATAACACAGTCAACTACCAAATACGACCTTCTGAAAAAGGAGAAAATGTAAATATTTCCCGATCATCAGCTGGAATGAAATTAGAGTGTCCTCTGGAGGTAATTTTTTTTATATAATACTATTTCCCCCTCCCCTAATTTCATTTCCTTCAGAATTAGCATTAGTTTCTCAAAAATAGCTTCTAATTTCTTTTCTTTTTTTTCTTATGTCCTTTTCACTTAGTCTCTCACTTCTTCATACTTCTCAGCTTCCCCCCCCCCTTTTATTGCATATCACAGTTGTGCAAAAAGTCTTATCATTTGTGGTTTTATTCTACAAAAATGATGGGAGGTGATGATGGAGATGCTTCCTTATAAGGATGATCAGCAGAGGGAATCTGGAAGGATTTTGTATGACCTAATTGGTTCCTAGACAGCATCTGAATTCTCCGAAATTCTAATAAAAAAACCAAAGTATGAGTGATACCCACATGTTGGCTAAAATCAACATTTTCTAGGGAAGCCACAATACAGTTTTAGGATTGGGAAGAGCGGAGAGCTCTTAGCAGGACACTTACACGCGAACTGGCAGATTCTCAATAGTAGACATAAACCTTGAGTGACTTGACATAGTCCACTCTCTGGAGTAGATAGCCGAGTACTGGTGGCCTAGGTTCAGTGTTAAAAATCTGGTGTTTGGATGGAAGCAAAGAAAGGAAGAAATGAAAAAAAAATGGCATCTTCCCTCTCTTCTCATACTTTTCTTTTTTGCAATTCTTTGAGTTTTCCATCAGTGCCTAAGTAAATCTGGATTAATGTTGGCAGAGTATGTAAGGTGTCTTGATGAATGAGCCTGTCTGTATTTTATCTGCAAAAGTCAACTCTTTAAGTAGGTCAGGTCAGAAAACTTACTCCACAAATCTGAAAAGAACGACGCAAATATAGATAGATAGTAAGGACAACAGAGTAAAAAAAAAAAAGGGTGAAGGTTATAAAAATGGAAAACCATGAAAATTTTCCTGGAGCTTAAGTTCAGAATTGTTCATCCATTGCCATCTTATTTCCTCCTCCCCAAACAGAAACTGTACTTTATTGCAGTGTTTCTTAACTTCTGCACCTTTAAGATGAGTGGACTCTAGTGCCCAGAATTCTGGGAGTTTGTCCAAATAACTTAAACATGCTGAGACTGAGAAACATTGCTATATTGCATTAAGGTTGAGAAACAGACTCTTGAGCGCTTACCCGAGTTTTCCCATCCCTCCCTCTTATGCTATTATGAATGAGGAAGGAGTTAATTTAAGCTTCTTTCTCATAGTTTTGCTGTTTTCCAGGCTCCAATATACTTTTTAAAATGTAATCATCATTGCCTTTGCCTAGTTTTCCTCAAGGTCATTTCTGTAGCTGTCTATACATATACTTACCCTCTTTGAGCTAGTCACTTAAGCCTCTGTCATTTCACAAATTTGTCAGACAAGGAAGCAGCTACACAGATGCTGCAGGATCTTGGTTAAGGAGTGGCATGAGGACCAGTGGGCCATTAGATTCTGTCTCATTTGTTAGGTTCATCATTTGAGCATTTGAGTTGACTTGGAAAACAAAATGTTGTTGACTTGATCACTAGATAGTGGTTTTTGCCAGGAGGTCAACATTGATCAGTTAATCCTTTAACCATAGTTGATGTCTCTTCTTCCATGGAAATAGAAATAAAGATTTGGCCTCAAACTATTAGCCTTCTTGATTGGGCTTGGCAATAAATTAAAGATCTCCTGATGTTTCATGACTTAGCTTAACTTCTCAGCTTGATCAAACCTGGCAAGGAGGCAGGGGGGCAGAAATTGGCGCATATGCTATTAGATCTGAAAAGGTCTTTTGAGAACCTGCAGAAAAAGAAAACAATTTTCCTCTTGAATTACCTCTTCCCTAGTTTAAGCTTGGCTGCTGTCATATGATTAAATAATTTATGCTATTACTGTAATGTACTCAAGAGATACTTGACAAAAAACGAAACAATGTTTTAGAGTATTAAGTGATTAAGACATAGTGCTTGAGTATAAGCTGGAGTTTATTGTTTGTCAAGGATAAAAATAATAATTGAGGAAAATTGTTGAACATGAAATGAAGGAGGCAACTTTATGTTTAATCTACTTAATACTTACATATCTTTTTTAAAAAATAAGCAACGGTTTTATTTATCTATTCCATTCCATTTCTATTGTGTGTAGGAAGTATAGAACATACTTGCTGCCTTTAAATACCTATTTGTTTTTTTAAAAATGGCCACTTGTTTTCTATATAGATTCTGTGGTAATTAATATAGTACAGAGTGGGAATACACAATTTGTAGCACCAAAGCCACCTGTAAGATCCAGCTTAGAATAAATTCCTATAAAGTCTTGGGTGCAGTTGGTACCAATTTTACATTGTGATAGGAAAGGGAAAATATGAACTGCATGATAAATAATAACATTAATTACATTTAAATTAATTTATATTAAATTAAATTTAAACCAATGCAGTTTCTTTTTCTGACTCTACTAAGATTTTGAACAGCTAAGCGTGGCTTCTGGCATACATAAGTTTCTGCTCCCCAATAAAGCATTAGCAAATAATGACTATTCATTAAAATTAATAAAATTGTGAACGTCTGTGTGTTTATGTGATTATCTACCACCTAAATCTAAATGGATTTTAGGTGATAAACATACACAGGGAATGATCCAGGTGATTATTCTGAAAGGTCTACTCCTTGAAAGAAAAAGGCAGTCCCAGCAGAATAGAAATTGAAAAAGTTGAGGAAATTTGTTTACCAGTAAAGCATCTTATCTAATGCCATTGCTGATACTATAACCTGGATTGAGTAAGATTTCATTAAATCTGTTTGCCAGCACTCTTTAAGTTATGCTGAACTTACTCTTTTAAGGAGCCATGTCCCAAACCCCAGTACAAGTATAGAATTCCTGAACTTTTAACCATGGTTCACTTACTCAGCTTTCTCCTTCATGTATCTTGTATTTCATGAACATTCATTTATCTATTTATACCCCTTTTTAAACCACCCATTAAAACAACATAAAACCATATTAAAACTATAAAAATCAAGCACGTTAAAAATGCTACAGTGAAGGGAAAAAACTATTTGATCCCCTGCTGATTTTGTACATTTGCCCGCTGACAAAAGCAATGATCAGTCTATAATTTTAATGGTAGGTTTATTTTAACATTGAAAGACAGAGTAACAACAAAAAATCCAGAAAAACGCATTTCAAAAAAGTTACAAATTGATTTGCATTTTAATGAGTGAAATAAGTATTTGACCCCTTCGCAAAGCATGACTTAGTACTTGGGGCAAAACCCTTGTTGGCAATCACAGAGGTCAGACATTTTTTGTAGTTGGCCACCAGGTTTGCACACATCTCAGGAGAGATTTTGTCTCACTCTTTGCAGAACTTCTCCAAGTCACTAAGGTTTCAAGGCTGACATTTGGCAGCTCGAACCTTCAGTTCCCTCTACAGATTTTCTATGAGATTAAGGGCTGGAGACTGGCTAGGCCACTCCAGGACCTTATGTGTTCTTCTTGAGCCACTCCTTTGTTGCCTTGACTTGTGTTTTGGGTCATTGTCATGCTGGAATATATATCCACAACCCATTTTCAATGCCCTGACTGCGGGAAGGAGGTTCTCACCCAAGATTTCACAGTACATGGCCCTATCCATTGTCCCTTTGATGTGGTGAAGTTGTCCTGTCCCCTTAGCCGAAAAACACCCCAAAACATAATGTTTCCACCTCCATGTTTGATGGTGGGGATGGTGTTCTTGGGGTTACAGGCAGCATTCCTCCTCCTCCTAACACAGTGAGTTGAGTTTATGCCAAAGAGCTTGATTTTGGTCTCATCGGACCACAACACTTTCACCCAGTTTTCCTCTGAATCATTCAGATGTTCATTGGCAAAATTAAGACAGGCCTGTACATGTGCTTTCTTGAGCAGGGGGACCTCCTTCACGATGTAGTGTGTTACCAATTGGTGACTACGGTCCCAGCTGTCTTGAGATCATTGACAAGATCCACCCATGTATTTCTGGACTGATTCCTCACCGTTCTCATGATCATTGAAACTCCATGAGGTGAGATCTTGCATGAAGACCCAGACCAAGGGAGATTGACAGTTATTTTGTGTTTTTTTCCATTTGCGAATAATCACATCGCCTGTTGTTACCTTCTCGCCAAGCTGCTTGGCAATAGTCTTGTAGCCCATTCCAGCCTTCTACAGTCTTGTCCCTGACATCCTTGGACAGCTCTTTGTTCATGGTCATGGTGGAGAATTTGGAATCTGATTGATTGCTTCTGTGGACAGGTATCTTTTATATAGGTAACAAGCTGAGATTAGGAGCACTCCCTTTAAGAGAGTGCTCCTAATCTCAGCTCATTACCTGTATAAAAGACACGTGGGAGCTAGAAATCTTGCTGATTGACAGGAGATCAAATACTTATTTTACTCGTTAAAATGCAAATCAATTTATCATTTTTTTAAAAATGTGTTTTTCAGGATTTTTTTGTTGTTACTCTGTCTCTCAATGTTAAAATAAACCTACCATTAAAATTATAGACTGATCCTTTCTTTGTCAGTGGGCTAACGTACAAAATCAGCAGAGGATCAAATACTTTTTCCCCTGCTGTACCTTTCTGTCACTGTTCAGTATTAATAGAGCATATACTTAGTGGAGCTAATCATTTTAGCTCAGAGTCACATGCAGTGCTTGCTAAACATTTGAAGCTTTATACAGATATTTTATGCATAAACCCATACCTATACATAATAATTCTTACATATATCATTCCTCTGCTTACTGAAACTTAGGCAGAGATACCAGAGGATTTGAGCTTCCAAACTTTTTCAAGTCATGGAGCCTGTTTTTTTTCTTTTCTTTCTTTTTTTTTTTGTTTTTAAATCCCCAAATCATTCTTGTTTATCAGATACAGAATTAATAACCATAGATGCCCCAGAGAGATGGAGGCTTGTGAATATCCGCTGATCAGCCTCACCCTTTTTTTTTTTAGAAAAATTATAATAGACATCATTGCCAGCATATGAGTGAATTTCTTTTGTCTTTAGTCTCCCCAGCAAGTCCATTAAATTCTTACAGAACTCTAGAGTTTCATAGAACACAGTTTGAAAACCTGATCTAAGCAGTCTTGAACAGGATTTATTTATTTTCCATTTTTACTATTTTGATAAATAATTCAAGGCAACTAACATACCTAGTACTCCTTTCTTCTCCTCTTTTCCCCACAATAATGCTGTGAGGTGATTTAGGCTGAGAGAGAGTGACTGGTCCAAAGTCATCTATTTCCAGGAGGGAGAAGAAAGCCTTTGCTTATTCTTACATTTCAACAGAGAAAAGTAGGCTTTAAAAATGCATTCACTGGTTGCCTGTAATCAGTATTTAGTAGTAAGGTATAAAACTTGGACTAGAAAGATCCAGTTTCAAGTCTTTTCTTAATAATGGAAATTCATTCAGTGGTTTTAAGGCATTTATGATTTTTCAGCTCAATGTAGTACATAAAGTCATAATTGTGGGATGAAGTTATGTATATGCTACCTTGAGTTTCTCTTTATAAATCGTACTGTGTATAAGAAGCCAGAAGAAAAATGGTATGTAAAAGACTTGTCTTTAATTCATAACTGTGACTAAGAGAAGGTCTTATTTTTGTATGTTGCTTTTCTTAAAATAAATAAAAATGAATTTTAAATGGTTTGACAGAAATAAAATCAGTTAACCAGCAAAGGAACTAGATAATATATATCTCATCAGCTATGGATTTTCAGTTACTCCTATTTTATCATAATTATCAGAGTCACATATTTCAGTGGATCTACTTTAAGTAGGAATTTTTAACCAAGCAGTCTTTGAGCTATAATTAAGATGTTTTCCAAAGCAGTTAATATGGTTAAAAGATAATATCTTGACTCAACAATATTCTCTCTCTCATTCACTTTCAACATAGTTTATTAAACACAGCCAAAGTAAAATACAACTAAAGTACAGTTGGTTGAGTTTATACAACATAGCAAGTATAGCCTATGATTTATTTCCTGAATTCATGCAATACATTAAGCCAAATCAAATAACCACATGACATAATAATATAATCGACATAAACACATCCTCTATGTCTGGTATTTATGAAAGAGAACAGAGATTCTTTAGTATACTGTGTATTGTTGTATATTGTATATTGTCGCTTGCTCTCTTTCTCTGTAACAAGCATGTAACCTAGATGTAGCAACCATGTAATCTGATAAAACAAGAAATCAGGTTTATTTTTGTTTTAAAAATATTTAATAAAGTTATCTGATTCCATTACAATTCTGATTAGTATATAATATTCAGATAGTCAAAAACTGTCATATAATGTACAGGGGGGGCTGTACCAATTCTGAACTGAGAAAAGTAATGTTTAAAAGGCTCTTTGGAATAATGTTGGGAGAATGGGAAAGACAAATCTTGGTGGGGGAAATGTTTCAGAGAGCAAGGCATACTTCTTAGGTCCCATTAGTTGACATTGTTCAATAGATGGGATGCCAATTCTCCCTTATAATACACAATATATGGAAAATGGTTTTCTCTCAGATAACTAGATCCTATGTCACAAAGGGCTTTATCATAACTAGTACCTTGAATTGCATCATGAACCCTACCGCAGGGGTCCTCAACCCCCAGTCTGTGGACTGGCACCAGGTCGTGGCATGCCAGCAACCGGGCTGCGCAAACAAGTGAAGCCCCATCCACAGGATGCAGGCAGTACATGAAACCACACCCCTTCTGGTCTGCAGAAAAATCTTTCTCCATAGAACCGGTCCCTGGTGCCCAAAAGGTTGGGGGCCTCTGCCCTACCGGTAACAAGGCTGCTCATGAAACAGAAGGTTACATGGCCATGCTGTGCATGCCAATAGCTGCACAGTAGATGAAGTTTCCAAGTGATCTTCAAGGACAATCGCATATAGAACACATTGAAATAATTCATGCAAGAGGTGACCAAAACATGAGTAATTGTACAAAGAATATCCAGGTCTAAATAAGGTCATAATTGGCATATAAAAAAAATTGTGCAAAGGTTTTCCTGGACACAGCTGCTGCCTGCTGTTTGAGCAGGAGATGTGAGTCCAAGGAGAAACACCCCCCCCCCCCAAATTGCATGTCAGTCCCAAAAGCAGAAGTCCAGTCCTGTTCAGTTTTCCAATCCTGGGTATTCCAAATACACACAGCCATTTAGTCTTATACTGTAAATCTAACCAAATCTTGTTGTAAATCAGGCAAATCCCTAAAGGGCATCCAGCTTGCTTTCCAGATATGTAGGTACATATACAGGATCATGACATCAAATGAGATGTGTGATTTTTTTTTTAATCCACATAGAATATCCTCAATTTTACATGATTAGTTTCCAGGATGAAGACAGATATTTGGTCATAGAATGAAGATATGGAAGACAATCCTGGATGTCTGATCAGTTGAGAAATTCATTCTTCTCTGGTTTTCATGCTTCCCTAAGTGTATACTTACATGCAGTGCTTTTTTGTAAAAAAAAAAAAAAAAGTGCTGGAACTCACTTATGTCATACAACCCGCCTTGCCTACCTGACAAGGTTCCATCCAAAAAAGGTGCCAGAGCGCCGTTCTGGGTGTTCTATGACAAAAAAAAGTCCTGCTTACATGTGACATGGTTTTTCATGTGGTTAGAATGTTCTAAAGAGGAACACATTTTAACAAAAATGTACATCAAAGAAAATTGCTTTATGGATATTAATAGGCACTATTATGGTCAGCCTTCCTTCTAAGAATCAATAATTACCGTATATGCCGGCGTATTAGGCAACCCGGCGTATAAGACGACCCCCGTCTTTATAGCCGGGCCGCATTCCTAGAACGTCGTCTTATACGCCGGAAACTACCAGTATTTCCGGCGCATAAGACGACTCGGCGTATAAGACGACCCCCGTCTTTGGCGCCGATTTCAGCGCTCGCGGAAGTCGTCTTATACACCGGCATTTACAGTAATTCTTAGATAAGCTTAAGTCACTAGATAAGCTTAAGTCACTATGTGAAAATATCATGTTTATTTTAGAATAGCACTCTGACAAACAACTAAACATATTATTTATAGCTTTTTCTGTTACAACTTTCAGCAAAGCTTTGTCTATTTGTTTACTGTTGTCTCTGTTTGAAGTTTGTAATGTCAACCATGATAATCTTAACGAGACTGAAATGCTTCTAATTTTATAATGTATATTTAGTTATTTAGACTATTCCTTCCAAACATTTGCAATAAAGCAAAAATATTTTGTATCAGTTGTCAAGATTCATTAACTGGCTTCTAATCAATAGCTGATTACTGTAAGCTTCTGAAACACATTTTGAAAAATTATAGTTAAATAAAGCTGTGTTTTCTTCACATTGGAAATTGCAGTACTGTATTAAAATATGCATTTATAACTGAGAATGAAACGTGCTTTTGTTATCACATATTCATATGGGCACTGCAGGAAATGTAATGGTTGAAATTGGCTAACCTTTGGAAGTTGCTTTATGCTTTTTTTGCATGTTTTGATTTAAAAAATGTTTTGGTTTTTTTGGCAGATAGCATTTAATGCTTTATGTGTTGTGTATTGCATAAATTCACAGGCTGATAGCAGCTTTTCCTCTAGTCAGTCTGCTGATCTCCTGCAGTGGACCACAGCTAAAACCATGAAGGTCCTTTCTAACACAACTCTGACCACAAAAGCTGTATTGCATGCTGTCAGTGATCGACAGTGGTGGAAGAAGTCAATAGCTTATCTTCGACCATTGCATGTAAGAAGCAACCATATTTTAATTTTTTAGTTGTTATGCTTTGGTTTGTTAAGTGCATCATTACTTTGTATTCCATAGGGGATTTTGTTTTGGGCTTTTGTAGGACAACAGAGAATACACAGAAATATCATATATACCTCAAAGTCCTGGAGTATGCATTTTATCTTTGTATGTGGCTCTTCAGATTTTCCCTTAACTTTACTGCTGGAGTGAAATGGAGAATTAAAGTATAAGTCCCCATGTCTTATGGTATCTTAACATCTGATGTAATTTCAATATTGGCTTTCTTTCTGTTTCTGAAAGGGTCAAGAGTTTGGAGATGTATTAAAAAACGCCTCTGGAGGAAATGCAACATTTGAAAAGCAAGGGTGTCATCCATTTTACGAATCTCTGATTGATAATCCATATCTTTCAGATGTAAGTTTAAAGCCTACTAGTACTTTTTAAGCACTCCTAGCAACCTGACGTATACTATGTTCTGTGGCTAGATAATAGATGAGATCTTATCCAACTAGTATTGTCAAAAGTTAACATATTGAATATTAAGTGCATTTCTGGCTATAATAATTATTTTAGGAATAGTTGAAATATTTAAATATGCTGCTATGCTTTAAACCCCTACAGAATGAAATAACTTATACTATGTATGAGCATGCTCCTTTGGAAAGCTTTGCAGAAGTATTGTTGAGAACAGGAAAGCTTGCAGAAACTAAAAGTGAAGGACATGATCTGTTTCCTGCTACAGAAGGTAAAATATATACATGTTTCCTGCTACAGAAGGTAAAATATATACATGTTTATCTGGATATACAGTGTGCTCTATTAATATATTAATTAATTTTTATATATTAATATATACACAACAATGTGCAATCACAGCCAACAGTTCTTTAGATGGTATTGACCTTCATACACATTGAATTCTTTCCAGGAATCTAGGATGTCATAATGTATCGACATAGTATATGTGCTGTATCATCACCATCATGGTTCATTGCACATGATTACTCTGGATTTGGCATTTTTACCCCCCTATCAATTCTTTCCCCAGGACCTCCTGAGATGTGGAGATGTTATTTGATGGTGTTAAAAAGTATCATCTCAGGATGTAAGCTGTAAAGCTGCCTTTTGCAATTGACTGATCGTCATTTTGTCAATGCCGATGGTGTCGTTCTACTTCTAGTTCCAGGTCTTTGTATTTTGCTATTTTCTTCAGTTCTTTCTTTTTTGTTCTACTATCTTCAGTACTGCAACATTCACTATCCAGACTTTTTTGTCTTTCTTGTAGACAGTTGTTAAGCCTGGCGTTCTGTATTTTATGATCCCACCAGTGCTTGCTTGTAGGCAAATGATATTTCTTGCAGATCTTCCAATTCACCATTATTGCTACTTTGTCATGCCATTGTTTGTAGTCAATCTATGTGATCTTCTTGCAACAGCTAATCAGGTGGTCCACTGTTTCTTCAGTTTCTTTGTATAGGTGATGCTTGCTGTCTGTTGCTGTCTTCTCAATTCTGATTTTGTATGCATTTGTTCTTAGGCTTCGTCTTTTGCCGCCAGACTTCTCTCTGTCTTTGTTCAACTTTCCTGCCCTTAGCCATTGCCATCTACTTTCCCTGCTATTTTCCAGTGTGCTGGCCATGTAATACCTTGTCTTCCCATGTCTCTTTTCTCCTTTTCACTTGGTCTTTCTTGTAGGCCAATTTGGTCTCTCCAGTATTCAGTAACCCTTCATGGTATACTTGTTTCAGTGACTTTTTCTTCTTCAGCTATATGGTATACTTGCAACATTCATACCTACCTATTTTCCTTGGTATGTAGAGCCTATCAACATCGCTGCATGGATGAAGGACACAATTCATTGTCAATATTTCTCTGGTCTTCTTATCCAGGGTTTTTTATTTATGCTTGAGTCCAGTCCACTATTCCAGCTGTATCTAATGATTGGAATTGCCCTGGTGCTAACTGCCTTGATAATAATTCCTCCACTGAGTTTGGACTTTAAGATCTTCTTCACTCTCATGATGTATTCCCTTCTAACCTTCAGTTAGGCAGTTCCAAGTAGGATGGTTTTCTATAAAATTAAGGTATTCAGATGTGAAAAATTGAATATTTCCAGATATTATTGTTGTTGTTGTTGTTTCAAATGTGTTTTAAACACCCAACTCCAGTGTGCCCCCACTCTGTCAGAGCATACAAAGCAGAAATTGGGGACAAGGGATCTGTCAGATATCCAGACCCTTTGCCATGCATATATTGGCCCAAACAGGCAGATGTTATACTCTCAGATGTTAACAAAGTTTAACTATCTATTCAGTTATAGAACCATCTCAGGATGGCTTACAAGCAGGTTAAAAACATACTTGGATAAAACAATAAACAGGAGAACATACAAACTTAACTGCAAAGATTCGGATAGGTTCACATTTTGCCATCTTCGGGTGTCTGCCTGAAGGACTGCAGGATTGAGGCCATACAAGCCTCCAGGGTATGCTGCTCTAAAGGGCAGGCATGGTGATAGAGAAAATATGCCTTCTATGTCCCAAAATCCATGGTGGTGCAGTGGTTAGAATGCAATATTTCAGGCTAACTCTTCCCACAGCCAGGAGTTCGATCCTGACAGATTCAAGGTTGATTAGTCCTCGATCCTTCTAAGGTCAGTAAAATGAAGACCCAGATTGTTGGGGGAAATATGATGACATTGTAAATTGCTCAGAGAGTGTTATAAAGCTCTATAGAGTATATAAGTCTAAGTCTATTGCTATTGTTATTGTTTTATTGTTGGAACTCAGAGCAGGCCAAATCTATCAGATATTATAGGGTAGGCAGAGAAAATTGGATACCCATGTCCTAAGCCGTGGACAGTGCTCATGGAAAATAGGTACTGTACAGTCATAGTTGGTAATATGGTTAAACATTAGGTCAATTTAGGTGAATATATGGCAAAAGGAATAAATGTAAAAACATGATTTATTTGATTGTTTATAATAGATTGAGATGCAAAAGCGAAGTTTTGAATGAGAGAGAGCCATTATTGGATAATCTTCAAAAAGGAAAGAAATAAAAGAAAAAAAACAATAAGAGAGAGAGAAAGAGAATGAAATGAAAGACAGAAAACAGACATAATAAATGCCATGGAAGCTGCTTTGGAACAGAACTAAAACAATTATATTGCTAAGTGCTGCAGAAATTTGTGCTGCAAAAAGAGGGAGAGAGAGAAAATAAGAAGAAAATACTATATAATGCATTTAGAGGGGGACAGATTTCACAGAATATAGTTGGGGGAACAAGGAAAGATTAGAAAGACAAAGACAGTGCAAAATGATTTTGATAAAAATAAAAATGGTTTTGGAAGTGGGTAAAGAGGCTAAAGAATAAGATCCTAGCAGAGTGAATGGAATTACAAATAGAAGTGTTTAAATCAAATAGGATGAAGCTGAAATGAGGGAATGCTGGAAAAGAATATACTAGAAATTTGCATGACATACTGATATATAATGATAGCAAAGTACTGAAAGTTGTGAATATTTTGAAAAAGTTGTAATACTGCAGATGCAGATGGTGTAACTAGAGAATTGTTGAAATATCAGTGTGGTTTGCTTTATGGATTGGTTGTGTAGTTTGTTTAATTCATATATACAATTCTACTATATCTGACATTTGGAGGACTGACGTTTTAGTGAACGCAAAAAGGCCAGGGGATTAGCTTGCTCACTGTTGCTGGGAAGCTGTTTGGCCTTAATGGGTAGTATGTCGTCTGTGGCAAAGGATGTATGCTTGTCAAAAGAAGCTTCAGTGGCCGTCTATAAGAATGTGCTTTTGCTCTCTTAGTTATATGGAAGTTAGAGTTGACTGTCAGGAAAAGCATAAACATAAATTGAATGTACTCCTGAAGAAAAAAAATGGGAGAACATAGGGTCAGGAATGAATGTATGCTGAATGGATGTGGATTGAATGTCAAAACAAGTAACTGAGACAAATGCAGTATGTTGAGTTGGCTTGGTCATATAGGAAGGGTATAAATTGTATATGGTGGAAACATGGGTATTTGGTAGGACAAATATAGAGGATGATGTTGGTCTAAAGATTATAGTTATATTTCAGTTGTATTTTCTTTCCTTTTCTTTTTAATTTATTTATTTACTTCTTATTCTTTTTCCATGTTTTGTATGACATCGGTACTCCAAAAAGGAATGGCATGATGAAAAATCACACTAATTATTTTGTTTACATGTTTCTTTCCATATGAACATTTATACAAGATTGCTTATTTATAACTGACTTGCTTTAATGTAGATAAATGTTATTTGACATTGTTAGTCTAAGAAAATCTATCACTGTCAAGGTTTCCACGGAAACCGCTGAATATGAGAGTCCAAGATGATGCCCTATGACACTGCATGTGTATAATACTTCAGAGAAAAAGGATCTACGGTAGTTCAGAATCTTATTAAATTTGTTTTAGTAGAAATCAAATTCTTTTGGGGGGGGACTTTCAAGAGATTTTATTCACTTGTTTAGCACTTGGCACTAGCAATGGCATTTATATACAGCTTCATAGTCCTTTACAGCCCTCTATAAGCGGTTTACAGAGTCAGCATATTGCCACCAACAACCTCATTTTATTGACCTTGGAGGGATGGAAGGCTGAGCCACCACGTAGTATATGGTATATATATTTTAGTATATTTATGGAACAAATGAGAAAAAAATCAGTGATTTTGACTCACACGTTCCGTTTTATGATATAGGATGCTATGAATGCTTAGGCAGTGTGTAGACCTTGCAGATTCTTCACATGTATACTAGCCATGATGCCATATTGCCAGGTCAGCAAGCAAAATAAATGTCGAGACTTTTAAAATATATAGCATAAATCTACCAAAACTTTCCTCTGGTTTTCAAAACCTTTTTGACACTATCTGTAAGATTCCCTGTAAGAGTCATTGCTTTTTCCAGTTGAAGTTCCATAGCTCAAAATAGCTATACTAGTCTCCCTTTAAATCTTTGTCAGTAAATTTAAATTTAACAAGTTCCATAAAAGCTTTTCTCAATCCCCATCATAATCTCATAATTCTTATTTGTTGATTCTGTGATTTCTCTGAACACCTGATCAGCTTGAGTCTAGATTTTGTGTTCAGTTTACTTTCATCTTCTTGTCACTAAATAGTATAACTGATGTACAGCGTTGTTTTTATATTTGCATAGAGTGCAGTGGTGGAGGGGATCTCAGTGAGAATTTAAGGGCTTTAAAATTACACTGATCCTGATCTTATCTCATTAATATTTCTGCAAGTCATTCTGTGATTCACATTTTCCCTGTAATATATACTTCTTTATCTTTGGAGAAAAATATGCCATTGTGATTGGACAAAGTCTTATCAGAAACTGTATTGTACTGAGTTAGGCTATCATTTAATCTGATTTAGTATTTCATGCTGGGATCTTTTTCCAGCTCTCTTGTAAATTCTGGGGATTGAATCCCTGACCTTTGGATCTGCCACATAATAACAATAAACAAAGTGACAATTCATGCATAGTCTTCTACTGCTTTCTGAACAATAGTTTTGAAATATTGAGAGCTTCCTACTTTAGTTCAGTATCCATTGGGTCAGAATATTAACAAGGGGGGGGAAGCCTTTATACCTTTTTCCCCCTTTTTTTACTTAGCACATTAAAATACTTCTGTATAATTCCATTAACACCATCAAACATTAAACATCTGCCTATTCCTTGTCATTGGGGAGGAGGATTCAATAGGCAAAAATGCCAAATCCAGTCTGAACATCTGGCTGACTGCTATGGACCATAATTATATTATTATACTGTACTTTATACATATATTATTGCTGAGCACTACCCAGAGTCATTTCTCACGAGATGGGCAGCTATATAAATTTGATAAACTAACAAATAAATAATAGGCATTAGGTGATAAGTGTACTTAATTTTTTATAATATATTGGCTGTGCATTAACCAAATATTGAGAAAGTCCATATTGCTTTGGAAGAATCTGCTTTCTTGGTAGGATATCGCATATCCAGTCCCAGACAGAAATCCCGTAATTTCATTTCCAGCTTAGGCAGGCTGTACTTGGTCTGATGGTCCAGCAATCTGTTTTGGAGGAAGGCAACTGAGCTCAGTACTGTTCAGAAATCATTGTCAGCAGTGCTTGTATCTTTCCTCACACTGGGAATACTTACCAGCTAGAGTACTGAATTATAGATTTCAGATATTTTCATAACTCTTTCATTGCAGTAATGATTTGTAAAATGGTGATGTGTTTGCTGCTTTCTTTCCCATGATAAAAACTTGATTAATAGTTGAGTCTTGTGTTACATGAAGAATGGTAAATACAATTGTTCTGACTGGCAGAAGCAATGTATTTCACAGGATCGTGTTGCCTGTTTTTCTAAATGTTCGTAACTTTTATATCATTGCTTTAGTTTTAAAGCCAGCAGATTTGTAAATCAGCCTGAGAAATGTTTCAGCTGTTCAGTTTAATATCTGCCCTACATTGCCCTGTCACCCTGACTGGAAAATAAACCAAGGCATTCTCTCAGTCTAATTACATATTAATTGCTACTGAACTAATTAACATTAATTGAATGTATACATGTCTCCAACTGAATGAAAAATATATAGAACTTAATGTGTTCAAAGGTTGGAGATGTAAACATTTGAACTTTTACATCTTTTTCTCTCTTGCAGTCCTGTTACAGTTGGCCAGCGAAGCTTTACCAAATGATATGACATTATCTCTTGCTTACCTGCTTGCATTACCCCAGGTATGTTCACAGATAGGATCTGCTTTTTTCCCACACTAATCTCTTACCTGCTTCTTGTATTGCATATGAATTTAATTCCCTTTAGAGACTGAACATATAGCATGCTTCAGCTCAATGAAAAGCAAGATTCTGTTATATTAGGTTCCGAAGAAATTTCAAAGCATAATCTGATGTTAGGTTGCTTGAGGAAGAAATCATACTTTCTCTTCAGTCTAGTCCACTAGTCTTTTCAGGGCACCACTTTTGATTCAACTGACATTGAATCACAAAAATCAAACCACCGTATCAGTGATAACAAAATCCTAAACCATGCTACTTTAAAGATCCAACATTAAAAATATATTTTTTAAAAAATTCACATGAACAAGCTACCAGATATACACAATTCTTTTTCATCTCTAAAATGAATGTTGATCTTTTGTGTAGAGTAAACCAATATTATAGACAAAGGTTATATGAATTCATGAAATAAACCTACTAAACCAATTCATCATTCAGTGAATTAATTAGTTGTAATTTCTGAATATCAGACAGACAGAAATAATGTATAACACTGCATACCTTGCTTGGGAAGTATTTGTTTATTTTATTGTCACATTCACATCTGAGATCAATCCCATCTAGCCAGGATAATCTGAGCTTCCCCTAACCACTTCTGATGATCAGAGTTGGCACTCACAAATAATTCCATCATCGTTGTTTTTAACTGTCTTATTTCAGACAGTTTCTCCCCCCTCCCCCCACCTCCTAAGTTATAAGATAGCCAAAATAGAATTAGGATTTGCAGCTGCCTCCAGCTATAAGACCTTTAAAATACTATTGCTTCTAGATTTTATGCTTGAGGTAGAAAAAAAAATGAAACTTTGACTTGGGATTTGCTGATTAGATATTTGTTGTTATAGAAATGGCTCGTATAAAGTATGCAAAAGTAAAAAGTTGAAGCTGTAATGTTATTAATTTTGTTGTATTGCATCAAAAAGAGTTAGAAGTTAATGATTTTCTTTTCTTCCCTTTCTCATACATCTCTCTCTCCCTTTTCCTCCCCCCCACTATCTTTATTTTCACTTGTATTTTATATTTGGATAAATTTAATAAAATAATAATTATAAGAAGAAGAACTTAAAAGTACTGGATTGTCTTTTCCAAAATCAAATGAGGCTGTAGACCTCCAATCAATCTGGAGAAAAGAAGGCTGATGGCAGGGGCAGGAGAACATCAACTCATTTGAAGCTTTGCATAACATATGTGCAGATCAAAGCAGTGTGGCCTTTGGAAATGAGCAATGGAATTTTTTTCAACATGCAGATTTTATAAGTGCCATCCAAGATTTTTTGTATGGTAGAGAGTTGTCAAAGCAAGAATATGACAATAGTATGTTGATAACCATTGGAACCTCCACAACCCTTTTACACCATAATTTTTTTTATTTTATATTATATTATAAAATTTTATATTATTAATGCCATACTCTTTCAGATTATTATTCTAGAGCAGTCATTAAAGATATGAAATGCTCATCAGCAGTGTAATTTTTTTTTGTTAGCTACATTAATTCTCTTCTTCTTCTAGGTGGTGGATGCCAACAAGTGCTTTGAAAAACAGTCTCCTTCAGCTCTCTCACTCCAGCTGGCAAGTTATTACTATAGTCTACAAATCTATGCTCACTTGGCACCATGTTTCAAAGATGAATGCCATCCCCTTTACAGGGTTAGTTTATATTTTTTTTCCTATAAATATGCACTATAAAACTATGCTATAAATCCAATGTGTAAGTTAAATCTAACTCAGGAGCAACCTACATATCTCAGCAAAGTTGAATATTGGCCTTTTATCTTGAATCCTATAAAAGAACAAAATCCCTAATGTAGTTTTCCCAAAATAGATTAATGTTAGACTTCAGGCTGGGCATGATTATGAGTCTGGATTTTCCATTTGCTTAAGCGTATATTCAGAAGGTTGTTTGGAGCAGAAGCTGACAAGTACAATATAGTCAGGTAAATTCTTTATTGCAGATGTAAGATGTAAGCCACGCAATGAAATATATAGGTCAGCTCTGGAGTTCACTTTTTCAGGAAACAGTGGTGACAAATGAATATACATAAGATTATCACTGATTGCTACTATGAGAATGACAGATTCCAATAATATTGCTACCCAGTTTTCCACAACTAAAATTGTTGGCACTAAAACTTCCAGAATTGCTAGGCAGCATGATCAGACATTAATTCTAAAAGCAGTCATTTTAGCTTATTCAGTGAGTACCAAATGAGGTAAAGCTAATATGTGGATATACTGTATATTCCAAGTAGTGCACTTGCTTACTTTTCAGAATTCTTATGTTTGTATTTCCTGTCTTGGTGTATTATTTAAAAAAGAGGAAAAATAAAGAAATCCGATTCAGTTCAGCTGGATTTTGAAAAAGAAGGAGAGGTATACATTTTTTTTTAATATAGGTGCACTCCTGACAATTGCTACAATAATGCTGCTATATAGGATTGTTTTTCAAAAATAGTCTTTCAGGTCCAAAATGTTAATTTAACTTTTGAAGTGGTGGTTCTTGAGAGGAGTTTTGAGAAAAATTACTATAGTTAAAAAGAAGAATGCAGCAACTTAACCATCTTAATATCAATTCAGGAGAAAGAAACCAGTGTACTAAAACATGTATTTGTTGTCAGCATGTCTAGTTAAATCTTCAACTTAAAAAATTGGCAAGATAGCTCTGTAGATGGAATGATCATATTTTATAGATTGATAAGCTTTTAAAATTCCAGTATAAGTGGAACACACTTTCTGGAATGCAGCTGTATGATTTCAAACAAGTAAATGATGTTTTGGTTATTGATAACCTTATTAGGTTACTGGGAAGAGCAACCAGTAATATTTTATAAAAATAGAATGGGATGTAGAGAAATTTTATAATATGTCTCAGTACTTGTTGGAACTAAGTGAACTGTGGATCTTGACCCCACCATGAAAGTGGTAAAGTCGCAGTTATATAAAGCAATATTGTAAAATGCAGGAGTTTTTATTAGGCATTTGCGTTGTTAACATTTAAATTTTCACTACAATTCGGAAAACATTTAGGCTCATTTCAGATCCATCCAGAGGTAAAATCTAAATCTTTGTTTGCAAATTGGTGACTTGTGAATTAACAAGGAAAAATATATTTTATTTATCTTTAAAAAATTGAACAAAATTTGTACATAGAGTAGTTCCTTATAAAGAGATAAAGCTGCCTAATTTAAAATAAAAGAACATGGAGTTTTGAAAGAAACTTCTATATTTTGATCTTTAAAAAGAAAAAGAACTCACTAATCACTTTTATTTCCTGGAAAAATTGAAAGAAATGTTCGAGCTTTTTTGTCAGTTCTGAGGATGCCAGAACTGTTACATTTTAAATCAATAGTTTTAAGGATTTTGGTACAACCTTTAAGAGTTTGACGGCTCCCCCACTTAAGAAAGAATACATTTATTCCCTGTCAATTTTTGTGATCAATTGTAATTTAAGAAAGGCATATATGGTAGTACAAAAGTTTGCTAGCGGAAGAATCTGCAAAATTTGAGGTGGTTTTCGATTGTTGCTGCTAGCGGTATGTTTTGAAGAAAAGGAATTTTTTTTGTTTGTTTGCTAGCTTTCTGTCTTGCTTTTGTTTGGAAATTATTAAAAGGTATGAAATTAATATCCCCCCTCCCGCATGCTGCATATGCCCCCATATTTTGGAGACAATTAAAAATGTCATCATAACATTCAAACATGTTTAATTGGATAAATGTAAATCTCAGTGTGTTGTGAATTAATTCTACAGGCTGATCCCAGAGATTTAATTCAGATGGTCACAAAGCATGTTACCAACTCCAGCTATGCGGACTGGCCAGACGAAATAGCAATTCTGATTAAACATCTTCAGTACTATAATGAACGACTCTTGGATTTCACCCAGGCTCAAATTCTTCAAGGGCTTGGCAAAGGAGTGGATGTCCAAAGGTTTACAGCAGATGGTCAATACAAGAGGGAAACCATATTAGGTTTGGCAGAGTAAGTGTATATCTTTGTATATCTTTTAACCTGCCATATGTAAAATGCAAACCTGAATCTATATTTTCAGCTGCACTTTGTCAAGAGATTTTGTATTATTATTACTTATTTATTATTTCAATTTAATATAGCAGCCCATCTCAAATCCATGACTCTGGGTGTCTCACAGCACTTTAAGTTATATGAAAAACAAACAAAAAAATACGGTAACATGTATAAATCAATATAAAAAGCCATACAACAACCCAGTCATTAGCCAAGATCTACCAAGAACTGCTAACAACAACCAGCAAAGCCAGTGTACAACTTTCATTGCATAATAATAGCAATAACACTTAGACTTATATACTACTTCACAGTGCTCTCTAAGTGGTTTACAGAGTCAGCATAATTGCTCCCTCCAACAATCTGGGTCCTCATTTTACCCCCCTCAAAAGGATGGAAGACTGAATCAACCTTGAGCCAGTGAGGAGGAATTGAAGGAATCAAACTTCTGGCAGTGAACAGTGAGTTAGCCTGCAGTACTGGATTCTAACCACTGCACTACCATGGCTCTTAATAACAGTAATAATAAGTCATTAATAATGACTTATTAATAATAGTGATATTACTTATACTATTATTGCAGTTTTGTTTGTTTCCATTAAAAAGTTGTTGGATTATCTAGTGGTATTTTAAAATGTGTCATAAAAACATGCAATTGTTAATGCAATGCAGACCACATTTTACAAAGGAGAAGACTCCAGTCTAAAAATATAGGTACGAGAAAGGGTGAAATGTATGTGTGATTTCCTCTATTTATTCTTTTTATTTATGGTTGAATGCTGCTACTTCAATTATGGTGAGGATCAGGAGGTTACTTATATTAGGGAAAGGTTCATTGTACTTTAATTTGCTATTATACTAAATCATGAACATGAACAGTAACTCTGCAATCCTGTGCATGCTTAATGTATCATCTCTAAGCACATGCCATGCAGTTCACCATCACAGGATAACCGTCAATGACATCATGGTGTTCCTTATTCTCACCTATATTTTGCTTTTCATAGTATCGCTTTCACTGTTGAAGTAGATTAAGACACCAAACCACATATGGTAGCTTTAACTGCCAAACCATGTATTAGGAAATCTGCGTGGCAATCATGAAATCCTTCTCTAGGGAAACCTTTTGCAGAAGAGGAGATTAGCTCATATTTTCTAAGATGGCTTATTGTGTGGATCTGGAATATGAATATATACTTGACACATAATAGAGGTAGTTGTTGAATTATGACCACTCGCTCAGCGATCGTTCAGAATTATAACAGCACTGAATGAAAGGGGCCTTACGATCAAACTGTGAAGTTGTGGCTGCTGCAGCAACCCTGAGATCATTTAATTGTGATTCAGGTATTAGGTGCCCAGCTTGTGATTATGATGTCATAATCAAGCTATGGTCACATGAGCACCATTTGCAACTTTTCCTGCCAGGTTCCCATAAGCAAAGTCAATGGGGAAGCCAGCAGGGAAGATTTGAAGGTGTTCCCATAATTCAGTCCCACTATTTTTTTCTCAAAGAACCCCAGTATGGAATAAGAGATTACAGGAATGTTGTACTCCATAGCACCTTCATGTCCGCCCATGCTCCATAGCACCTTCCCTTGGTCCTTGCCAGGCCTGCCTGTGTTCAGAAGTGCCTGCTGACAGTCCCTGCTGGCTTGTCCATGATCAAAAGTGCCTGCCCAAACTCAGAGATTCTCACCTGTGGCCTCTGCCAGCTTGTCTATGCTCAGAAGCACCTGCCTGTAATATCTTCCAACTAAAACTTGGCACTTGTGTACTTCCCAAGCTCTCTGTCTGGAGCTACTGCCTCTTCCTGCTTAATGACCCACACAGTCCTGAGGTTATGACAGCAACCTGGACTGCTGGGATCGCTGTTGTTAAGCAATACAGACGTGAAAATTGCATTTTATGTCTGCATTGCTTAGTGATGGAAAGTTTGGTCTCAATTGCCATTGCAACGCAAGGACTATTTGTATATATGGAGAAATAAAATGCAGCTGTTTGATTGAATCTTTGATGTTTCTGAGACTTGATAATAAAAGCTCCTTGAATATAAACCTTATAAAATTATTTATCTGGTTTGCCTCAGAGTACAATATCAGAACCTTCACATTGCCTTCAAGGGAGTATGGATTGCTATCTCAGATCCATACTTACAGACACTTGTGAGGATGTAAATTCCCCATTCATAAAAGGCCTTCCTTGATTTCAAATTTCATTAGCAAATGATTTCAAATTTTATTAGCAAAATATGCAGCTCTTGGACCTAATAGTAATCCCCCAAATGCTTTGCTACAAGTCATATATGCTCCTGTATGATATTCAACTTGCCCAAATAAGTGTATGCAGTTAGGATGGCTTTTCAGAGCCTTGGTCAAACTTTTTATCTTTTATATTCTTCGCCTTTTTTTTTTTTACTGTCAGCATCAAGAACAAGATTATAAGGGTGTGAATAGAAAATGCTTGCTTCTACCCAGGAAAGTGGGAGTTACTTAATCCCTACTAGTAATGCATACTGCAGCTTGAGAAGTTTTATATCTAATGAAAGCCTTTTTGCTTGACTTCAGATACATAAATAATGTTCCTGGGATTCCAAACTATAGCCACTGCTGATTCCACATTAATAAAGAAATTACTGAAATGTGAATAACATTTTCATCCATTTTTTTTAAACCTACTCCTTTTCTCTTGAGCAATATGTTTTATAGTATTTTTTTAGGGAAAAATAAAAAAGGATGAAAGTTTAGTTTCTGAAGAATTTTATTGTAGCAGGATGTTTCAACTTTTCCAGGCCATAGAACCCATTATTTAAGGGAAACCTCTGAACCAAGAGGCAAAGCTTTAGCAATGGAAAATTGGCTGTGTTCAAGTTAACCTTTGGAGTGTGGGAGGGGGGCTTTAGTCCCTCATGAAACTTAGGGTTCCATGAATAATTTGAAATACCCTGGCTTAGAGGAATAGATCCTACAGACACTGTTCTGTCTTGTATTTTTTATTATTATTATTAGCTATTAAATAGCTATTAAACTTCTTTTTCCCACATGTGTATTATGACTTCTCATTAACCAGAACACTTGAAGAAAATGTGTACACTATAGCTCTCTCCTTGGCTCAGCGTTATAATGTCCCACTCTGGGAAGTTCATATGACACACTTGGAATTTCTCTTCAGCGACAGCGGGTAAGTATAGAAGTCTGTTTCATTTATTTTAATGGCAAGTATTCAGAAGGTGGCACTCAAGTGAACATTCTCCACTTCATTAGCTGAGACAGTATCTATAGCTTTATGCAGAAATATTCAATTCCTTTTGGGTTTTCAGAATGTTTGTGTTTCTTTGAACGTTAAGAGTTTCTTGTGGCTCCTATTGACATGTGAAGAGAGTCTAAATAAATGTTTAACACTTGCTCCATATTTTTCATAAACAAACTAACATGCAATTTCAGTGTACTAGGGCCACTTGTATGAATATTTTATTAGGCATTTAAGGCTAATTTGTCCTATATAAATTTCACAAACTTTGTCTGGTCTTATTACAATTTAAGAGACATAGCATAATCACGTAAAAAAGACCTCCAATTTTTATTTTAAAAATATGTTTATCAGTCAGGAGTAGGTTCCAAATCCATTTTTAAAGCTCTGAGATTTTATCACTCCACAGTCAGAAACATAACAAAATAACTCAAGAGCAGAGTATAAAATTACCCAGAAAAATCACAAGAACCTCAAAATAACATCCAGTGATCTATGGGGCTCTCTTCCCCAAGTCCATCTTCAGAAAAGTGTGATAAAAGTGAGATTGATAGGAGAGTTACAAGACAGAAGAATCTGGTTACTAAGCAGAAGATTGATGCTGATGTTAAGTTTACCAAAAAAAAAAAAAAAAAAACCCATGTAGCTGAACACCCAGACCTCTCTGGACAAATGACTCATACTTGGAAATTTTCAAGCTACATTGGTGTTATTAGATCTATTTTGGTACTATTAGATTCAAACACCACATTCTACTATAAGAGCCTCATACTCATTGTCATGTATAGATATGGAAGTGTCATAGTTTGGGGATGCTTACTGCCTTAGGACCTGGATGACTTGCCAGTACTTCAAAAAGCAAGAATGCTGCTTTGTATCATAGAACTCAATGAGAGAATATCAAGCCATCTACCCATCATCTGCACCGTAGCACAAATGCGTCATGCAGCAAGGCAGCGATTCAAAATATACAAGCACGACTGCTAGAAAAGAAGAACACCAGATTAATTGTTTTTGAATAGTTAAGACACCCATTTATCATATATAGAAATACATACTGTATGCATTGTATATGCATTTTTTCTTATTATTTAGTACAGGTAGTCCTGGACTTACAACTATAACTCAGCCCAAAATTACAGTTGTAAGTTGTGCCAATTGATAAGTGAGTCATCATGTGACCGTGCCCAATTTCACAAGTGTTTTGCTGTGGTCATTAAGCGAACCCATTACCCAATGGGTGTTTTCTTTGCCATTTCTTTGCCCGTTTCCAGGAAAAATCTTCATAAATTATGGTTACTTGGCTGTGGGTGCTGCAAATAGCCATAAATGCGGGGTGGTTACCAAGCACCCAAAATATAATCTTGGGGGAGATTTATATAACCGATGTACAGTGGGGTTATATAAGCTATATATAAACTGGGAGGGCACCATCAGAACTTTGAAATTAGATCACAAGGGGTCATAGAATATTATGTGGTAGAGTGCTTGCTTCTCTGCTTGAATTGTATACTAGCTTTATTATTAATATTACAATGTTGTGAATGTGCCTTTCAAGTGATTTTATAAAAATGAAATGATAAAAATTAAACATCATCAGTTTCAGATTAGAGTACACAACCTGGTGCCTTCCATATGTTGTAAGAGACCAGTTTTCCTTTCTTAAGTTACCGTCATAATGGCAAAGCCTGGTGACACCCACAGTCTAAAACTTAGAGAACAGATATTTCTGATATTTCTTTCTGGCACGTTGTTCAGTAACCTTTCTTCCTTCTCTTGAAACTATTTGTTCCTTCAGTATAAAAAATTACACCTGGAATTTTAAGGGAAGGAAAAATAGATCATGACAAAGTTTTCATATCATACTCATTTGCAATGTGCCTTGGTTAATAATTTATCAATTTAGATATATAGCTTGTAAAAATTGCCTTAGTGTGAGATGAGAACCCAGTTATAGGAAGAAGAAGGACTATTGGTATGTTTGCCACTTGGAGTTGCATATGGAAAAAAGGGCAAAATAAAAATCTTCTTAAACATTGTTGGCAAACTGTAGGTTAGTAGTAGGTCTGAATCCAGTCTGTATTTGTCTGTCCTTACCTCATTCTTCATTGCACTGATAGTTAAGTTCCTTGTGTAATGACACAAAGTAGAAAGCTACAGGCAAATTGGCTAAGTGCTTAATTATCAGTATCTTTAGAAAATCATAGTTAATATATAAGTCCTACTGCTGTTGCATATAATTTCAGAAGAAATTTAGCTACAGCAACATGTACACGTTGCTAAGCAACCACCCAGCTTAGATAAAAAGAAGCCTGCTGAATGTTGAACCAATTTTACATCAATAAGAAAGCCACCTAATAACATGGACCTGGATGAATACTTAACTGATTCACCTTTGACCAGGGGGCTATGAGGCATGGAAACGGATAGTGAGTGGAAACAGATGGTACTTCTTAAAAGTACAAGTGGAAGCCTAAATGAAGTAGGGATAGAAGCAAAAGGAAAACAGTCCCATTATACTGTTATTATACTGAATATTCCTTATACCATTATACTGAATCAAGATCACATGAAGTACTAGTACCACTTTACAAAGCCTTAGTAAGACCATATCTGGAATACTGCATCCAGTTTTGGTCGCTACATTATAAAAAAGATGTTGAGACTTTGGAAAAAGTGCAGAGAAGAGCAACAAAGATGATTATGGGACTGGAGACTAAAACATATAAAGAACGGTTGCAGGAACTGGGTATGACTAGTCTGGTGAAAAAAAGAACCGGGGAAGATGTGATAGCAGTATTCCAATATTTAAAGGGCTGCCACAAAAAAAGGGGGGGGGTCAATCTATTTTCCAAAGCACCCAAAGACAAGACAGGAAACAATGGATGGAAATTAATCAAGGAGAGAAGCAACCTAGAACTAAGGAGAAACTTTCTGACAGTTAGAACAATTAATCAGTGGAACAACCTGCCTCCAGAAGTGGTGAATGCTCCAACACTAGAAGTTTTTAAGAACAGACTGGACAGCCATTTGTCTGAAATGGTATAGGGTTTCCTGCCTGAGCAGAGGGTTGGACTAGAAGACCTCCAAGTTCCCTTCCAACTCTGATTATTCTATTCTATTTTACCTTAAACTGCAGCATTATTAGAAAAGCACACAATTTTGACTCATGGACAAAATCCTCACCAAAGCAAGCAATTATATTTAGGGTTTTTTTCTTGTTTCTATTGCTTCAAATCAAAACTAATTATAATAAATGTTGTCTTGCACCATTTTCATTGTTTCTTTTAATTTTTTTCTTGCTAAGTAGCACTACTGTTCTAAACTGGAAATAAAAGCTTGTAATTATTAAATTATTAGAGCATCTTGTTTAAATACTTGGATTTTTTATTATGTCCTTCAAGAAATTGCTGAGTTTTTAGAACTGTGAATAATTGTGCTTATGAGCTAGACAATTGGTTTGTAGATGATAGCTTAGGATTTTATTCAAAGAAACTCTCTTTTTGAAAATCTTTTCATACTTAATATTGATAACATCATCCAGTATTTAGCAAAAATTAAATTGATGAAATGGGTGGTTTCATTTATTACATTTTCTTTTGCTTTCCATGCAGTTTGTCCACAGCTGCAATAGAAGACCGGGCAAAAAATCTTGGCCTATTTGAGACTCTGAAAACTGTTCCCAAAGCCTTTCATGAGCATATGACCAAATATGTGTATTCTATCATTGAAGGAAAGGATCACCAGCGCTTACTCTACTATTTCACACTTCTTGAGAACTGTGCTTGCTCTGAATTTGTGAAAGATACCATCAAACTTGAAACTCACATACGACTACTGAAAAAATTCAAGGCGGTTGCCCCAGGTACAAGGTGTTAACATTCATAACTACTTAGCAAAGCTGGATGTCTTTAAAGATTAGGCTGCAGTTCAGCACTTATTTGATGAATTTAATCTTCTGTGTAGTTGCTTGTTTCTGCCTGAGATTAGTTTGTGAGTATCTGAGAAAGAAGGCTGCATATGGAGATCAATTAATTTGGTAATTAATATACATTACTTTACAGACTGGTAATTGATACTTAATGATTGATATAAAGGTATATTTTTGTCATGGCTTTGTGCTTTACAGTGATGACTTCTTGCAGATGAGCACAGACACCAATGTTCATTCATAGATGGATAGATGGATGGATGGAGAGAGAGAGAGAGAGAGAGGGAGAGAGAAAAATATAGCACCATGATTGACCATCTTGATAGAACAGATAAGGGAGGAAAATGGGAAATGCACAAGATTGTTGTATATATTTTTAATAATCTAGTCTTCCTATGGGGAAATATTTTCTTAAATTCATGGTAATAGTACGTATGTTGACTTGTTTCATATTATATATGGGTTAAAATGTATATTTTATATTGAGATAGCATCTACTGCCTCAGTTTGAGCATTAGACTGATATCTGAAGACTTTAATGCCTACTACCATTTCTCAAAAAATGGATTTGTCATTTTTTTCTGTCATTTGTATTCTAATTTTTTTAAAAAAAATAGTTCCAGAAACAATGGAGTAATCATATGCATCATGGCACTGCCAGTGTTGTTGCATACAACCTTTGACGGTAGTTTTTTTTTTTTTTTTTAATCTTAGTTTAGTTGCCTATACAGAGAAAAGGCTGGGAGCTGCTGCTTTATAACTCTCTGGGCTATTCTACCCTGTTAGACTGACCTGTCCAATATGATGGGGAGCAAAATCTTTTTTTTTTTAATCTGTACCTTTCAGGTACAACCAGTGAGGCAATAGAATAGATCCACTTTGCCCAACCTGCTTTTTCCTGTTGCAGATGGATTGCAGGATCCACTCTACCTATGCTTTTTTTTTTAGCTGAGAAAACAAAAGAAAAGAGGAGGCCAGAGGACTATCAACCAGGGAAGGCATAGTCAAATCTTGATTCTTTCTAGCTGTCCAATGCATATTTTTCCCATTGGGGGAAATAAATAATGAAATATTTTCTTAGTGAAGAGAGTTTAGAAAATCATGGCTGCTCACATCATTCCTGTTGAAATGGGCGACATTTAGGAGAGGTGCACAACCGATGTCATGAAGTGGTTTTAATGAAGTTTTGGCCCTAGATAACATCCACTTCCCCACATGCCTGCTCCAAGTTCTAGCAAAAACTTACAAAAATATACTGAAGTTATGGTTCATTTTTATTCAAGACTGTCCCATGGGATTTATTTCTAAGTAAACATGTATAGGAATATGCCATCTAAGAAAGATTAAATAGAACATTTTTCACCCACATCTATACCATAGGTAAACTCCTCCATCCAGAGGTGTTTTAAACACAAAATTTAATACACATGAAAATGCTTTTCAGTGCCCTTTGAACATATTGATGGCTGGTAAGAATGTTATAATGTGTAATTTTGATATAGGAGCGGTAGTATGAGTGGCAGATTTATATCACTTTATCCTGCTGTAACAACTTTAAAGCTCATGAGGTGGGAGGTTATATGATTGTCCTCTCTGAGGCTTTGATATGCCTCCCTCTTTTTCTCTGCCTACTTGTTTCTCTATTAAAACCTTGCACAACATGATAACATAATATTCCATGCCCTAAATTGGAGGAAAGTATACTGTAATATGATGAAAATTATGCACTGGTAATAGATCCCAACGTCCATAAATAGTGCTTCACATTTTATTGCAATTTCTACATTGTTGATCCATAAGGGCTGTTGCTCATATATTTCTGCTAATAGGTCTTAATTATAAAAAACTAACAGAAGAAAATGCAAATCCTCTGGAAGCTTTGGATCCTGTCCTCACAAGTCAAAATATTCTGCCTATTTCCAAGCTTGTTTCTAAAATCCCAGGAAAAGATGGAAGTTTGCTTTCTCCTAGCTCTGTCTATGCTGCCTGGATTAAAAAACTGTTCTGGAATGGGGATTCCCATCTGATTAAAAGGATTCCAGAAACCCCATCTGAATGGCTGCATTCTTATGACATTTGTGCCAAATACTTCGATAGACTTTACCCAGGAGATATTATCAATTTTCTGGATGAAATTACTTTTTCTTCAAAGGCTGTCACCAAAGTAAGTATTATTTTACAGCAGCATTATGTGTATGACTTCTTTGATTAGTGTAAAAAGTGTCAGACATTGACAAAAATTGGGTTTTCTAAGTAATTAGGCACAGAGGAAAATATGTTGAAAGTATCTAAACAAACTATCATTAAAATAATTCCAGCGCTTGAATGTTCTCAAGAAGAGGCTCAAATAATGGAAGCTATTGGATCCATCCAAGTTGACAAAAAAAAATAGGCTACTTAAGAACAATAATCTATTTTCAAAAAGTCCTGATTACAGGGAGTTTTTCCAAGTAACTTGGCACTGCTCTCCTCTCTCTGCTCATTGGATCTCTGTGTTATGATAATGGCCCTCATGGTGGGTGGCCAAATCCCTATGTGAGAGTCAGAATCTATCAATGGTTCTTTTATGCTTTTAGTTCTAATGTGGGTCCCCAAAAGCAAGGCTGGTCAGTGCTACATGTGACCCATTCTCTTGCACTGTGGTTTAACAGCTCTGACAAACTTTCATCAACTTAACTAACCCAGGGGTAGGCAACCTTGGCTCTTTTATGGCTCGTGGACTTCAACTCCCAGAATTCCTGAGCCAGCTGTGTTATGCTGGCTCAGGAATTCTGGGAGCTGAAGTCCACAAGTCATAAAAGAGCCAAGGTTGCCTACCCCTGAACTAACCAATAGCCACGTTGCTTTCGGTTTATGGGAACTAGGCTCCAATATATCTGAAGGATGTCTGGTTTAGGGGTCCTGATCTAGAGGAAGTATGCGTAGTCCTCGACTTAATGACCACAATTGAGCCCAAAATTTCTGTTGCTAAGTGAGACATTCATTAAGTGAGTTTTGCCCCATTTTACGACTTTTCTTGCCACAGTTGCTAAGTGAATCACTGCAGCTCTTAAGTTAGTAATACAGTTGTTAAGTGAATCTGGCTTCCCCATTGACTTTGCTTATCAGAAGGTCACAAAGGAGATTGCATGACCTCCCAGAACAGTGCAGCGGTCATAAATATGAGTCAGTTGCCAAAGCATCTGAGTTTTGATCACATGACCATGGGGGATACTGCAATAGTTGTAAATGTGAAAACAATTATAAGTCATTTTTTTCAGTGCCATTATAACTTTGAATGGTCACTAAATGAACTGTTGTAAGTTGAGGACTACCTGTATAAAGTGCTAATGGAAAGAACAGATTGGGAATTAATCTGTTCCTACAAAACTGAATTTAAGTTCAGTTATATTCTATATACATTTCTCTACAATACTGTAAAAAATAAAGATTGATATTCACTAAATTTACACCTTACAGTAACCCATAATCTAAATATTTAAGGGCTTAGTATGTTATATAAATCCATCTAATTATAACCATGACTAAACAAACCATGACTTGTGTGATGAACTTAGATTGTTTACATTGAGAATTCAGAATTGTGAAAGTTTACCTGTGAATTGGTGAGGAAAAACTTTCTGGTTTTTTAAAGTCATCTGGAGGAGTGCCTTGACTGAATACAGTTATTTTTTTTTATTTTTTTGCCTGAGAAATTATTAATTGTCTGAGGTAGAGGAATCTGCAACAAGCAAATATATTAACATAATGAAAATCCCAATATGTAGGTGCTTGAAAACTCATTCGGAGAAAAAATGAGATTGCTGAGTCCTACTGCCTTCCTGTTTACTTGTTAATCCTTTCCAGCTCTTGACTCAAAATACTATTTTAAGTGGAATACTTCAACTGATAGTTTCAGATGCATTTGTCAAACCAGTTGAAGAATGAAGTCTTACACTTTAAGATTTCTACAGGCTATTATAAGGAAGGGAATAGTTTTTTCTTTGTGTGTTTTTAAATGTTTTTTAAAATTAGATAATGGAATCGTTCAAGAGAAATATGGGCATGAAAAAAGAAGTAGCATGGGATTAGACTTTGAAGGCAAAAGCTCTTTTCAGAAACAACTTTTTCTCTTGCTCGTGTTCTGTTATATTAACACATTCTGTTTCTTTATTAAAAAAAAGAGGAAATCTTTTAATCAATGTATATTATTCAGTTGTTCCTATCGCCATTCATGTGCATTCAAGCATCACTTGTACTATAAATGCTAGTGACAATTTATGATGAATTGAGCATTATCTTTTCTCAGCTGTCAGTAGATTCCCGGGTAGAGATGACAAAGAAAGCCATAAAGTCGATGAGACATACAGCTGAAAAAGCTGGGAAAAGGGCTTCTGAAGGGGACCTCACAGAAGGTGTGGTTCACAGGCAAATCACTTACGAAGATGTTTTGAATCATCTGCAACAGTCCCTTGCACATCTGGAAACCCTTAATCATAGTTTTATTTCTTACCTGAAAACCAGTGACCAGGTAGGTGAAAAACATTTAGCAGAACCAAATCAAGATTATGTATCATATACAGTAGAAACTCTGGGCGCTTGTTTTTTAAATACATTTTCCCATTCACCTTCATCTAGTTTTGTTTCACTCTGTAAAACATACCATAATAGTAGCCACATTTAATTTCACGCTAAAATAATTCAGGTGACAGAATCACAGTTTTTCATTTCTTTTTAAAACTTGTAAAGGTACTCCTCACTTTACCTATGGTAATTGGGACCAGAGTTTCTATCACCAAGTGACACTGTTATAAAGCTCAACATAATGTGACTGCATTGCTTAGTAATGCCAGTTCCTGGTTACCATCTTTAAAAGAGGACCACGAGAGTCATGAAGCAAGGACTTTGTGATTGTAACTCTCAACTTTCTGCCGGCTCCCCTGTTGATTTTGCTTGTGGGAAGCCAGCAAAGAAGATTGCATATTGCGATTACATGGCTGCAGGACGTTGCAAAGTTTGGAAATCCAGGGTGGTTGCCAAGCTCCCAGATCATGATCATGTGTCCCTCATGGTGCTGTGATAGATAAAATATCAAGAACCAATTGCAGCTACCACTCATTCAGCTCTCTCAAGTTTGAATGGTCATTGAATGAGTGATCATTAAAAGGGGATCACCTGTGAAGGCAAATATACGTACCGTAAATGCCGGCGTATAAGGCGACTTCCACGAGCGCTGAAATCGGCGCCAAAGACGGGGGTCGTCTTATACACCGAGTCGTCTTATACGCCGGCATTTACGGTACATGTCCCAGGACAATGTGTATACTGGTAGTTTCCGGCGTATAAGACGACGTTCTAGGAATGCGGCCCGGCTATAAAGACGGGGGTCGTCTTATACGCCGGGTCGCCTTGTACGCCGGCATTTACGGTACATGTCCCAGGACAATGTGTCCCAGATTGGTTCTTGCAGGATTACCTGCATTTATCTTTATTGGCTGCCTAGTTATGCAGCTAAGAGATTTGGACTCTGCAATAGTTGGCTTGATGGTAATTTTTTTATTATTATTAAAATTTTAAAAGTAAGGTGGAAAGGAAGTTGTGGACTTTTTTTTTACATACACAGAATATAATATCATAAATATTCCTAAGGTAACCATTATGAGATTAATTCTTCAAACTGCTTTGTGCAGTGGTGGGAATAATGATTTCTGTCATAATCTATTGGAATGAAGTTTGGAGCTTTTTGTTTTCATTGTTTCTGAAAAGGCTATTTCCAGATTAGCAATGAAATCTGGGTTTCAGAAATATTGAGTTATTGTGACTTAAACTTAACTTACACTTAAATGGTTTCCCCTTATAGAAAATACTGCAAGAATATGGCTATCAATACGATATATCCCGGTCAGAAAAAAAAAGAATCCATGAACAAGCTGTAACAATGTGCTTAGATGGACAACCTTTGAGCATGATAAAAACATTACTGGATGTTGCTGTTGGAGATTTAGGACTTTCACCCAAGGATATTGTTGAGACAGCTCTAATCAGAGTAATTGCTGCTTTGAGGTAAGTCAAATTTAGACTTAGTAGACTTAGTACTTGGTAGCAAAACTCTTGTTGGCAATCACAAAGATCAGACGTTTCTTGTAGTTGGCCACCAGGTTTGCACACATCTCAGGAGGGATTTTGTCCCACTCCTCTTTGCAGATCCTCTCCAAGTCGTTAAGGTTTCGAGGCTGACGTTTGGCAGCTCGAACCCTCAGCTCCCTCCACAGATTTTTTTCACTGAAACTCCACGAGGTGAGATGTTGCATGGAGTCCCAGACTGAGTGAGATTGACAGTTATTTTGTGTTTCTTCCATTTGCAAATAATCACACGAGCTGTTGTCACCTTCTCACCAAGCTGCTTGGCAATAGTCTTGTAGCCCATTCCACCGTTGTATAGCTCTACAGTCTTGTCCCTGACATCCTTGAACAGCTCTTTGGTCTTGGTCTTGGTGGAGAGTTTGGAATCTGATTGATTGATTGCTTCTGTGGACAGGTGTCTTTTATACAGGTAACAAACTGAGATTAGGAGCACTCCCTTTAAGAGAGTGCTCGTAATCTCAGCCCATTACCTGTATAAAAGACACCTGAAAGCAAGAAATTTTACTGATTGATAGGGGACCAAATAGTTATTTCACTCATTAAAATGCAAATCAATTTATAACTTTTTTAAAATGTGTTTTTCTGGATTTTTTTTTTGTTGCCATTTTGACACTCACTGTTAAAATAAACCTATCATTAAAATTATAGACTGATCATTTCATTGTCAGTGGGCAAACGTACAAAATCAGCAGGGGATCAAATAGTTTTTTCCCTCACTGTATGACAATAAATTTGGGGAAAGAACCTCTGAATAATGCCATGCAAAACATATATGAATATATGCTATATTTTGCCAACTGTGGTGTTAGTTTTTTCAGAGCAAATCGAAACTGAAATTGGCAGCAGATGTCACTCCCTTATATACTGACTGTATTTAGTGGAGCAGGATGCCCACAACCAGTCACTAATGGCTAAGTAGATGACAGTTGATAACACTTCTCCTCATTTAAATTATTTGGATGTTTATGAATACTTATTAGAAAGTCAATTATTAGAGAGGCAATAGAAGTGTCAGCACCTATTCAGTGTCTCACACAGCATTCCCCAAAAGTCCTTTCATCAATAAATAGCAGCCATGAAAACACACACTTCATTAATAATACCAACTGTTTATTTAGTTATACTTTTTGCTATATTTTTCAGATTATAAACTGGTGTTAGCTGTGGCATAACCACAAGTATATCAACCATTTGATGGGCTTCTAACTATTTGACTGAATGTTAACATGAAAATCGCTTAACAGTCTAGATACTCTCTCACGTAATACTTTTTAAGAGTGAATTGAAATATATTACTTTCTTTTTAACAGTGAGCAAGTCTTACCTTTTTGTTTAATGGTCTTTTCTATTCACATAACTAAACAATGAAAGTTTATACACAGAGCAGTAAATTAATCAGGCAGCATCTTAAAAGGATAAGAGAAAATATTGCAACAGTGAAATGCCTAAAATTTCAAATGTTTCTAAAACATTGATAAACATGCATATAAGTTATTACAATCTAGTGAATGCAGAAATAGAGCTTATGTAATACAAAGCAACAAATTAATTAGTAAAATTAAGCATAGAATACAGAAATATTGAACTATTAAGTGGATAGTAATATTTAAATCTGCACATGCTTTTCAAAAGTTCTATTCTTGTGAATCTTTCCCTTTTCCCAAGAGCCTAGTTATTTATGCAATAAAGCAGTTCAGAAACCTTGGTATAGCTTGTTTCTATGCCAAAAATAAGAAAATTATACTCTGAATGTATTTTTTGCCAGAAAAATTCCTAACAGATTTGAGGCCTAGAATCTTGTGAAGATCTGTGTTATTACTGTTATGGCTCTTGGGAGACCAAGCTTTAATAACCTTTTAGATCCTTAATTATTCAAGATTTTGAACTAAGAAAGCAACTTCAGTACATGTCAGATAGTTTTTTTAAGATGCTTTCATATTAGGGTCTTTATAAGTGTGGTTTCTTAATACTGATTAATGTGACAACTTTCCTGGCAAATGCAATAAAATACTTTTTATTATTAATTAGAGGGGATCTTGTGTCTTAATTTTCTTATTAAAAAAACTATTCTGACAGTTATAAAAGCCAGTTATGAAAGTTGAGTTCATAGTAACACTAAAACATAGGTTGTTGAAACAGGATTTGTTGGACAAGTTCAGATGGGTTCATATAGCTTACTAAACCATAATTTGTTTGCGGACCCACAAATGGTTGGATTCACATATCGCACTGAACCAAAACTAAGCAAACCAAATTATGATAAACTCAGTCAGCGTATCTTCTGGCTAATTGTTATTTTGATAAGCAGCACAGAACGTTTATACATGCAGGCCTTGGGATTTCTGAAACATTGATTCCAAATAAGCATCTTTCTGTTTTATTCATTTTGACAGTGAAGGGAGTGATCAGCATTCTTTTCAGAAAGATCATTTTCAGATATTGGAAGACATGGTCTCTGCTGTCCACACAAGTGCTGAAAATGGGTAAGAGTTTTGAAGGTGTAATGTGAAACCTGATTAGAGTTGCTAAATAAGAATATGTAAAAACCTGGATTAAATCAGACAGTTTAGAAATGATTCTATGGATCTCCCAAACCAGAAAGGAAGTGGGGCAGAGTAAATGCAACCAGCTTATGAGCAGGACTGGTAACCCAGGCCCAAAAATATTTTATTTTTGTTTCCTATCTTGTATGCTGTATTCAACTATGTTTTTGCTTATGCAAATAGTCAGCAGATTTGAGATACTTTCTGGTTTTGTTGTTCATACTAATTTCCTATCAAATTTGAAATGCTTTCTTCACACATCCGTATGTTTAATGCTAGATTCCCGTTCTGTGCCCTATTCAGAAACCTGCAGTTTTTTGTCAGGAATCTGTCCTTTTCACAGCACATACATTCTACTATCCTTTCTTATTTTGTTAATACTGTTTGGGACTTTTTTTTAACCTCCTCAAGAATTTTTCATTCTCTCTCTTTCTCTTTCTTTCTTTCTCTCTCTCTCTTTCCCTTGCTATCTTTCTTTCTTACATTGTCCATGTTTTTATAGAATCAGATAGTTCCATACCTACCAGTGGATCTGTAGCCTTTAAACTTCCACTTTGTGTGTGTACTCTGGCAGCAAATGTTCTCAAATAGGTACCTCCTGTATCCATCCTGCTATAACTCAAGATATTAGTTCCAAAAAAACTGTTACACTGTTTGTTGTGCATGCTGTTATCTTCCCCAGGGAAAAGCCCAATGAACCTAAGTCACAAATCCATATATAATGCTAGTAGGAAGATAAATTTTGAAATACCAATATTACTATAATAAGGTCTTAGACTTGTATTCCATGAAACATTATTTACCTTTGTATCCTTCAGATGTTGTAGGAATTCAATATAATGGTTCCCCTCAGGAAGATACAGTTATCTGAAAAATGAGCTTGCCTAACTTTTGAAGCCAAGGCCTCAACTGCTTTCTTTTTAATTTATCAACTTTTTAATTTACATTCCAAATGTCACTTCCTCCAAAAACTCATTTCTAATTTAGCACCAGTTCTTTGAGAGATGGAATATAAAAAGAGTACATAGGCTAAATAAATTTTCAAGTTTTTATGAAATGATAACTTAAACTGTCAGCTTATATTATTTCAGCATTTTCAGACAGGTTGAATTGGTGTCTTCTAGCTGGTATTATGTTCCCATCTATCTTGTTAAAATGACTACAGCAGCATTACTTCAAATATAAATCACATGCTACCTGCTGCTTCTTTTCATTTGAAAAAAAACAGTGTCGAGTTGAAATATTATCAATGAATATAAAAGCATTATTTATACAAATACAGATATATATAGTCTTTTAGACTAGTAAAATGGGCAGTGGTTGCCTGAAATGGGCAGTGGTGGTATTCTTGATAACCTGAATATTGTAAATCCTACAGCATCATATTAAGATTGTTTGTGTGTTTCATCAAATCACAGATGTCATTCAGTATATAGTCTGTGTGTTAGACAAGAAAAACCGCCTGTACCTATTACAGCTTATAAGGCTTCTTATTTAATGAAATAACACAGTTTTTTACTTTGGTAGTCAGCAAACAAAACTATTATTATTCTGTTATTATTATCTAGTAAATTATTTCTAGGAACGTCCTTTTCTAATTTGCTTCCTTGTGTACTTTTAAAATTAACAAAAAATGCTTTTTAGCTTTAGTCTGCTGCAATATTATTATTCATGTGACACTTTGAAGAAACAGATCAGAGTCAAATGGATTAACGCTAGCACAGGAGAATAAGAGCAGCTGTTTGGAGAAAATAGGAACAGTTAAATTAAAGACAGCTCCACATCCTTCCCTCTCAGAAAAAAATTGAGAAGGAAGATATTAAAAGACTATTCCTAAAGGATTTGTGGGTGAATAAAGTATATTAAAAAGAAGCAGTGCCTCATGTTGTAGAAGAGTTATTGCTGAAGACAGGAGAGAGTAAACTATTTTCTGCTCAATATGGCTTGGTTCCAGGTTTGGACAGGTTAAAGGCAATAGTATGAAGCATATCTAGGAAAACAGTTGGGAAAAGCATGCCACCTCCACAGCTTACACACACTAGTATGGATTAAGTACTGTATTTGCATCCTATTTTCAGATAAAGATTGTGTCCCAGAGAGTTTATGTTAATGAAGAATTAAGTGCAGATTTACAGTGTAAAGCTAAAAACCAGACTTAAACTAGAATTTTGAAGGAAAGAGAATTTCCTTCTCTTTCTCCCAAATTTCTTTTTCAAGAATACAGTTACTTTTGAGGAATGTGAGGAAGGATAGAGATGCAGCCTAAGCTGACTGTAAACATTAGGCTTGTTGGTACTAAACATAAATGTAAATCAACAAATTAACTATTTTATTGGACTTAGATCCTAATTTCTCCCACAAGTATACCTTGAATCACAGATTGGTAACAACATGATCTAAAACACATTAGAAAGAAGCATTGTGAAATGAACTAAATCAAGGACATTTCCCAATAGAAAATGTCACAATTTGGCAGGAGCACCTTTCAAAGTTTTGCTTTCTGAATGAATAAATAATAATTTAAAGACAGACATGAGGGGCCTTGCAGGAAGCTAAATGTTCATCTAGATAATTTAATTACCATGGCCCTTTCTCCATTCTTTTTCTCTAATTATCCATTTTATTTCTTCAAAAATCCAGTCTTGTTTTGTTTTCTGTTTTTGTCATCAGGAAAATTTGCATTTACCGCTTTTTTATATTCTGTGGCTTTCGGCATTTGATTATACAAATACTGTTGTTTGAAGAACCGAATAGCCATTAGAATACAGATTTTTCTCTAGTGACAAGAAATGCATTGTCTCATTTGGTTCAGTAGTCAGAATGCTATTTAATTTTGCTGACCAATAGTTAACATAGAATGTGTTATATGAAAAAAATAGCCATAAGATGATGTTAAAATAATTTCCTTGGAATGAATTTCTTTAAAACCACCCAAAACTGGCAAAACAAAAGTATACAATAATGCAAATTTCTGATAGTATGTAACAATAGATCTGCTGAAAATATTGAACAGGAAGCCTTTGGTTGTTCCTGACGAATCACTTGGTTTCTGGGAAATACTTTGCTTCTATTAGGATATTCTGCTTTCTCAGCTTAAATTTTCAATTAATTTACCAACTCCTTATAAATGTTAGGAATAATTTAAAAATAAATACTAGTGTATCTTCTATCTATTGAGAGTTTTTAGGTTAACTACTTCAGTGTTTAATTTCTGCCTATTGTCACTCACCACTCACATGGAACCACCCCCTTGGGTCTATGACAATTCGCCACAGGCAACTTGCCCCGGCCAACTTGCTGTGAGACCACTTGCCCCGGCCAACTTGCTATGGGACAACTCGCTGCAGGAGAAGAGTTACACTAATATCAAAGAAATGGTGGAATAGAATCACTAAAGAAAGGAGGGGAAAGGAGGGATAGAATGAAATGCTAAAAATTAAAATATTTTTTTAAATTTATTTTAAATAGTTAAATTGAAATGTTAAGTTTTCCTGTGGCGAGTTGTCCCACGGCAAGTTGGCCGTGGTGAGTTGGCCATGGCAAGTTGGCCATAGCGAGTTGATTGCAGTAAGCTGGCTGCAGCGAGTTGTCCCATTCCACATCCCCTCTCCCCCTCCTCCGTCTGTCCGCAAAGTCGGAAAGTTGGAGACCTCTGTCTTAATTCAAGAAGGAGCTGAATGGAATTTGTTAATGGAATACGATTAGATGAAAACCAGTAATAACAGATGTGTATCTTGAATTCATTGTAGCGAGAATCTGGTGTCTTCAGATGATTTGTTGGCTTGGCTTAGGCCCTTCTGTGGGGATGATTCTTTACCAGTGAGGCCTCGCATAAGAGTGCTACAGATTTTGGAGCAAGCTTTTCACCTAAGTGACGAGGATAGCAAACTACTTATACTATTTAGAACACAAGCTGTTCTCAAAGCCTATTGGCCCCAGACTCAGGTAAGCAATCTCATATGGCAATGTTTGTTCTTTACAAATAAGCAAATTATTTATAAAACAGTAGTTCTGGACCTTCATTGATCGTTTAGGCTTACAGAGCACTTGTGGGTTTCTTCTCCTATTAAATAGGTGCTTGTTTGTACTATTTTTTTCTCTTAAACCAATAAATATCTGGGGTGATTTTTTTCATTTTCTAATTCCTGTTCTTTGTTAATGAATTTTAATAAAATTAAAACTAAAACTGTATTTTTAATATATATATATATATATATATATATATATATATATATATATATATATATATATATCTTGAGCATATTGGTATCCAGAAAGGACGAAAAGTTAGCAAGCACAAGGGTTTCAGCTGAACTATATTTCTTTTTTCTCTTGTCTTTTGTAATACTTAAAAGCATTCCTCCTTTGATGAAAATAAAAATAAAAATTCTCTTGGGTAGCTCAATTCCTGGTTATTACATGGGTACATCCACATAGGTTTCTTGGTAACAAGAATATTGTTTTTCATTGTTTTCTTCCTGGATGTGTTTCTTTAAAAATATGTGACTCTAGACTGTAGAGTAATTACTTCCCATCCAAGTATTCATCAGCTCTTGTGTTGCTTATGTTTTTTGTGATCAGCTAAAGTTGGTTAAAACCATATGCTGAGCTGTTCTCAGTTACCCTATTACTGTATGGTAGTCAAAGCATTCAGTGTTAATGGCATTTTGCAACGTAACATTTTTACTATGTTATATGTAGCTCTTGATTTCATTCTGAATAATGAAATGGTATTTGTGTTTCCCCCTTGAATTAACTGGATTTGTTTTCAGTGACACTATTCTGTTGGCAAAGAAATGCCTATGCAAAGTTTATATTGTTTTATTACAGCTATTTTGGATTCTTACCTATGTGATCTAAACTGCATAGGCATACTACAAATTATATATTAAAAAAAATAAATTAGCAATTGGCTGAGATAAGAGTAGCAGGAAATAGGAAAGAAATAAACTGAATGAAATAAATTTCATGATGACTGAATCATTAAGTATGTTAAGATCCTCCCCAACATTTCTTCCCTCCTTCCTCCCCCAGGGAAAATATTCAGACAGTTCAGAGCAGAATAACAGAGTGGGGGGGGGGAACCTCAGAAGTCTTCTGGTTCAACCTCCTGCACCAGCAGGAGACTTTATACCATTCCAGAGAAGGACTAGCACTGATGATGTTACCTAGTTTGGACAATGAAACATCTGCAAGAAAACAAACAAGAGGTCATAGAGCACCAAGGACCCCTCAAGACAAGTGGCTGTCCAGTCTCTTCTTAAAAGCCTCCAGTGATGCCATACATGACACGTATGGTCTGTGGGTGATTCTGATTTGTAAACACAACTGTTCACACAGTGTAATAGCATACACTGGACTTCATGTTCTGAAGCCATTACAAAGAAAAATTACTGTGCTCTAGCTGAGATGCTTAGAATGTTGTTCTGTAATTTATCTAAGTTACAGCATAGGAATATGAGCTAAGTCAAGAATAACAAGTAATTTATCCCGTTTTGCGTTTCTTCTTGGGAAAAAATGGCATAATCATTTATCAATCAGTATCTTCTATTTCAAGATAATTTTTGATGAAGCAAAGAGCCACTGCTTTTCTATGAATTCATAATGACACATACATAATTATGTATGTAATTCAAGGAAATCTCAGTGGAAGAACAAAATATATTGAATCAGTGCAGAAATTCATTCCATTTTCATCTTTCTTTTGATTGTAACACAGCATCTGAAGATAAAAGCATATGTTATCTTTGACTTATTTTCAAGAAGCCTTCTCTTGTGAATAGATATGAGTTTAACAGATCTTTACTAGAGTTCATTGGGCTTGAGAATGTATTGTAGCAATTAGAATCTTCTCTCAAGTGCCTTGTTTGTAATTCTGCTTTTAGTGGTGTAGTAATTCAGATTCACATTGCAGTGAAGAACTGAATAATGAAGAAATACATTTGCAAATTGAATTAATCAACATGGGTTTTGCTAGGACACAAATAAATCTGCCATGGATTTGAGGTTTGACTAGTATGAACAGATAATGTTATAGTGTTTAACAAATGCATTTAGTTAATTTAAATTTCCAGAAAAGAAAATGCTTGGCTTCCCCATATGCTTCAGCAGCACTGTTTCTTCAACTCATTTAAAACTCATTCTTCTCAGTGCTGATACTGCTTATAACAAAATTAGTATTTCAATAGTATCATTATGGACAAAGTTTTCTAGAATCAGATCTGTTATTTGATTCTAGTGAATGTTCAAAGTTATGCGATAAGTGCCCCCTTGTGTTTACAAGAAAGTTCCAAAATTACGAATGTTGTCGCACCACAGCATTTGTTCACCCTTATGAACAACCACAGTGGCATTCGAGTATTTGAGGGGCTGCCACAAAGAAGAGGGAGTCAAAATATTCTCCAAAGCACCAGAAGGCAGCACCAGAAGAAACAATTGACCAAAGAGAGAAGCAACCTGGAATTAAGGAGAAACGTCCTAACAGTGAGGACAATTAACCAGATTTTTAAGAAGAGACTAGACAGTCATTTGTCTAAAATGGTGTAGGTTCTCCTGCTTGAGCAGGGGGCTGGACTAGAAGACCTCCAAGGTCCCTTCCAGCTGTTTTCTGTTCTATTCCCCACCCCCACCCTGGGTCTCCCTAGGCACTAGGCCAGTGGTAGCGAACCTATGGCACGCATGCCAGAGGCGGCACTCAGAGCCCTCTCTGTGGGCATGCGTGCCATGCCCTGGAGATGGCGAGGGACTGGCCCCCGCCACGCTCTCCCCGCCCACCCAGTCTGCCATGGCCACTGCAGCCACATCTACCCATCACCCGGTGATAAATAAGTGGGTTTGGGGTTGCAGTTTGGGCACTGGGTCTCTTAAAAGGTTCGCCATCACTGCACTAGGCCTTGGATACTCACCTTGAGAAGATCGAGATCCTTCGCTTGGTTGCTCCAGGCGAATGCGTGGGCAAAAGCTGGGAGTGAATCGCATTCAAGGTACGAGATTCGCTCCTATGAATCCTCAATTTATGAATGGAATCGGCAGGCTCCACTACATTCGTAGCTCAAGAACTATCTATATTATAACAGGGTGTGCTCAGTATTAATCAAATATCTGGCAAATCTGTATTTATTATTTGCTTTTTGTACAGAAGTCTTTATAGCATATTCTCATGACAATAATATTCAGATTTCCAGCTTTTTAAAGAAATTTCTGGATTTGAATTAATTACCAGCTCTTTCTTGTCACATTTCATTTTAACAGTTTTTTCTTTCTAAAGTATTATTTATATTATACATTTGAGGTTTATTTTGCTATGTACCTTGATGACCTCAACTTTTCGAAAATGCTTTTTTATGTATAAATCAAAAGATTCTACTAGCACGCTTTCTATTAATACGAGCTTACTTAAGGGAAATAATGACTTGAGTTTTTCTATATTAATTGAGGTTCAGCTTCTAATAAATGCAAATCCAAAAAGAGCGAATTGGAAGAACTGCAAAGAGATTAAGGACTACATTTTTATTTACTGTGCCTTATTTTTTCTTATACAGTCACTTTGCTGATAGGGATGAGGGTAGAAGGCCCCTTCCTTTATCTAAAGCCCGTTCCCCTCTTCCTTATAAAATCCCTTCTAAATCTAAAGCTGGGAATGGTCTTGCTTGCTATCAGAATGGGGCAAAATGTTTTAAGGAAAGTTAGGGGGCATTGTACTCAGAAGAGTAACATTTCTTACGCTACAAAAAAGCAGAATACTACACCCTTGGGAAATCTATTCACATCAAATGTTTGTGCACTGCCCAGAGTCACTTTACGTGAGATCAGCAGTGTTATAAATTTGATTGATAAATAAAACAGACTTAACCATTTTGAATTAAAAGCATCTCTGGTAACAAATATGGGAAAATAAAGCATGAAGCATACTCTAAGTGAAATTAACTGCTGAATCAGTATTAAGTACCATAGAAGCATATATTGCTGGAATCTATTACCCAATTCCTATAGAGCAGGAATTTTGGTGGCAGGAAGCAAATAAACTGCCTTATGACTACTTATGACTACTAAAACAAGCAAGAGGAAACAAGAATTCGGTTGTCCTCTGGGTGCTAGACCAAGTCCCATTATACAAAGATTCCCTAAGCTTATGCTTGTCACCAGTCTCTTCACACAATTCCATTGTACTCGTAGCTTTGCTCTGTCCTCCTTCATGCGTCCATCTGTTACTGAAACCAAGAAATCTTGCAGGAGATATTTGAATTGTGAAAGCCATGTGCTTGATATTCCTATTTGGGTATGTAAGAAAATGTTTTAAAAATAAAGCAAAAAATGTTGCCAAGAAAACTGCAGGAACTAGTCCATGCAGTTGCCAAAAAATGTTGCCAAGAAAACTGCAGGAACTAGTCCATGCAGTTGCCGGGATTCAAGATTGACTTGAAGGCAACAGACAAACCCGATTTAACATAAGAATACTTCATATTTGTTTGCTTGTTTAATATGCTGCCAATTTAACGGTCTAAGCAACTAATATTTTAATAATTATGTTCTCTACTCTGATATCTGTATTTATTGTGAGCCTCTGCTTTCCCCAATTTATTAGGTAGAAATAACAGAGATTGAAAATGAAGAAAAAAGGTATCTTCTGTTCATGAAACTTCTGGAAAATAGTGGGGAACATGAAGAATTCCAGCATTTAGTTATGCTTCTTCAAGCTTGGCCTCCTATGAAAAGCCCAGATATGTAAGTTATTTGTTTTGCATTTAACATAAGTTTAAAATACCTTTGGAGATTTTAAAGTAGATCTTATCCTAGTGTTAATTCTGAATGTACTTTCCATTGCTTAAGAAATAAGTGATTGTAGAATTCCCTTGTTATTTTTAAGTGATAAGAAACTGCTGCTTTAATTTTGTGAGTGGTTGATTGAGGGTATTTCTAGGCCACCTCAGTTGCTGTTTTTTGCCATTTTGAAGTGCAAAAAAATACAGGTCCATAAACCTATTTATTATGATGATCACTGACCAACAAAATTCAAATTAAAATGCATAGACATTTCCTGAAAGATTAATAGAAATTAAAATGGTTCAGACTTCTAAACATTATACATACATGTGTGTGTACACATATACATGCACACTTTGAGAGGCTTAAGTTGTGAACTGTAGGTGACAATCATGTTCTGTTGTTATTGCTAATACAACTCAACTAGACAGAAACACTTCAGTTTCTCAGCTGCTTGGTGACAGGTCTAAACTTGCATACAGATTCTCATGAGCAGAATAACAGAACGATACTAACATGAGAATCAGATCCTGCAAAAAAAAAAAAAAAAAAGCCCAGAGGTGTAATTTGCCCAAACATTATATATCAATAGCCCCATCATGCATCCCCAACAACTTGACACACATGCTTTAGCGACATTTTCACATACTCTTCCATTGATACAGTATATGGTATCATTTGCCCCTGTGGATTCTACGTAGAACAAACTAGCCAAAACTATTCACAAAAGAATTAATGGACATGAAATTTGACTCAAAAGGTCTATCAGAGCATTTCAGCCTTCTAGGACAGGGGTCCCCAACCTTCAAGCCATGGCCCACTCCTGGGCTGCAGCCTATTTGAATGGAGCTTTGCGCATGAGCATTCTCCACTCGTGCAATTGGAACTTTGCGCCCAAGCACAAGTGCCTGCCGCTCGTGCAAGTGGAGCTTTGCGCATGAGCACAAGCTCCTTTACACGAGTGGAGGGTGCTCCCACCTACCACTCGCACCAATGGAGCTGTGCATGCATGTATGTGCCTGTCACACAGACACACAGATGCACTAATCTGGGCCGCCAAGCTGGAAAGGTTGGGGACCATTGTTCTAGGACATTCCATCTTGAAAGGAAAGGGGAAAAAAACTTTGCTAACACAATTCAATGAGAGATTGCTGAATATCAAAAAAAATTCAGGCTCTCTCTGAAGATCTCAGCAAACAATGGGTTTATTTGGTACCACAAACCAACATTCAAAATGAGTCTAATAGCATCTTTTCTAAGTAACGTATTAAAAGGCCTAAGCTATCATGACCTACTGCTTGCTTGGTCAGTGGGTTAGAGTGGCTAAACCGATGTAGGATTTCCAATGGGATGAGATGAATGGGGAAGGAAGGAGTAGACAGTTTGGTTATACAGATATAGGCTGCATGAAAGGTTAAAATTTATCAATTAAAAAACATTTCATTTGTTACTTGTGAGTTCAACAATCTCTTGCTCAACCCTGCTGTTAAAATCTCTTTTTTCCAAAATGGTTACTTTGTGTAATGCACAATAGAATGTCCTGGGAGTTTAGTCAGTCTATGCATCTGATGAAGTGGGCAGGAACTACTGGAAGATTATGCCTGTTAATTAGTAAAGAGTACTACCAGAATCTTCCTGATTTTTGGCTACCATAGGCTAACATAGCTGTCCTTCTATAATGTTTATTTTAATTAAAATATTTGATACATATTTTGTTCTGATGGAATATGGAAGATTGAACCATTAGGTTGGGGGTCCATCCAAGCATAACCTATACATTTCAGTGAAATGTTCGGAGTATTTTTCATTTTGAGCCCTTTCGTCTGTATTTGACCTTTACAAAGCATTGATATACAGTACACTTGGAATTCCCTTAGAGCAAAATTTTTATTTAGTAGGAAAAAACTGCATTGAGAAATAGGATTTTTTTTTTTTTACAATGGCTTGGTTACGTGTATTTTCTTTTTTTTAATCAGATTCCTTTCTTGCCTTTCAAAAAAAAAAAGCTGCTATGCATATGGATAAAAAAGCCAGCATGCTTAGATTTATGGTGTATTTAAATAATCTATTACAGCATAATTTTATTGCTTTCCTTTTCAAAAGAAAACTAAGAATTTCTGGCTGCCACAAGGGGAAGGTTATAATATAGGACTACTCTTAACCTACATAGCTTAAAAAATTTCCTAATATGTCTCTCTCTGACCCATACATTCTGAGTGAATTGTTTTAAGAATTATGGTGGAAAAAGAACATTACTTGTGAAGTATAAAATTGTTTTCTTCTCTGTCTGGCCACTGAGCCATGTAAAACTGAGCACTAGTTGTCTCTTGTACCTCAGAAATTGAACTTTCATAATCTGAGTTCTTGTAATGATGAATGACAGCTGTTTTGGTTTTGCTTGATAACATTCAACTGAGCTATGGAGTTTTATATTGTTCCTTGGATTTATTTTCAACATATTTTTCCTAATCAAAATCTGATCCGGAAAATTTGTTGGGTCAGAATGGAGGGAACACAGGACAAAGGCAAAAAAAAGTTCTACTGTATGAATGGATTTCTGGTCATGGAATGTTGGCTTTTACATATTTACCTCCCTTCAGTTAATTTTTGGCAAAAAAAAAGGCAACCCAAACTGCTATATTTTGTGTTCTCTTACTGTGGTGGGGAAAATAATTTTGTGGGCCAGAAGTTATTATGAGATGGTATTTTGGAGAAGACAATCTCTGCCCTATGTAGCTACTCCTATTGTGGCATAATATGTTTTCTCACTGGACTGATTTGGCAGGTTGGAGATTTACCATTCCACAGTATTAATTCAGTTATGCATTCAACTATTTCTCCAGTCTCTTTATTGAGTTGTCACATTCCAGATTACCTCTGGATTCTTTCAAAGAGAAACTGTCACTTTATCAAAGACATCATCTGTACATCATCTTTGACCAGAATGTAAATTTGCATAGTTTTACATATGAATAAAACATTTCTGACAGAGATAAATACTTTGTTTCCATATGATGTGTTCATAAAGAAGAGGGAATTAAGCTATTTTCCAAAGCACCTGAAGGCAGGACAAGAAGCAACGGGTGGAAACTAATCAAGGAGAGAAGCAACCTAGAACTAAGGAGAAACTTCCTGACAGTGAGAACAATTAATCAGTGGAACAGCCTGCCTCCAGAAGCAGTAAATGCTCCAACACTGGAAGTTTTAAGAAGGGATTGGACAGCCACTTGTCCGAAATGGTGTAGGGTTTCCTGCCCGAGCAGGGGGTTGGACTAGATGACCTCCAAGGTCCCTTCCAACTTTACTACTATTATTATTATTATTAGTCACAGCAGCCAGAGTTTTGAAGCAACTTTTCCTGAAGCATAAAAAAAGATGGCGAATGTTGTGACTTCTTATATATTTCGTAGCTTTTATAAGTTAGGTGCTTGTATTAAAACTAGTTCTTTTCAAATAATTAGAATAGCACTTTCTTAATGTAATCTGTTTTAGTTTATTAACTAATTAAGTTCACAATCCAATTAAAGAGAAAAATAAGAATGTTTAGCGCTACCTTTGATTCTCCTTTTTCATCATTCTACCGGTATTAATCTTGATCCAGAAAACATATGACAATTTCATTTTTAATTTCCAATAATAATCAGATAATGTCTGAAATTCAAAATCCTGTCCCCAAGTAGATTTATAGACAAATGGATATAGAGTGTGAAAGGCAGAAAATGAACAAAATATTAAGCTTTAATTCGATAAATAAATTGTATGGATTCTTACACTAATTTAGTCTCGACAAGTTTATAATTGATGAGTATTATTACATTATTACCTACTGAATATATATATATATATATATATATATATATATATATATATATATATATATATATATATAATTGCCCAAGTCATAATAGCATGCAAATTGTGACTCTAGATTAGAAAATTAATTCAGGGTAATATTTCATAATTGAAATAATTTTTAGTTATTATGGATCATCGCACAGTCAGCCAGATGTTCAGACTGGATTTGGCATTTGGTCTACCTATCGAGTCCTTACCCAGGACCTGGGATAGGCAGATGTGGATGTTTGATGGTATTACAGATATCGTCGCAGGATGGAAGCAGTTCCTAGTAAGGCCGCCTTTTGCAATTGACTAATAGCAAATTTGTCAATGCCAATGGTGTTCAAGTGGTGCTCCAGTTGTTTTGGAATTGCACCTAAGGAGCCTATTACTATTGGTACTACCCTTGCTTGCTTTTGCCACAGTCTTTCTATTTCTATGTCTTTGTATTTTGTTATCTTCTCCAGTTCTTTCTTCTCTATTCTGTTGTCTCCAGGCACTGCCACATCCACTATCCAGACTTTTTTGTCTTTTTATCGGCAATTGTTAAGTCTGGGGTGTTATGTTGCAGGTGCTTGTCTGTTTGAATTCTGAAGTCCCAGAGCAGTTTAATTTTATCATTTTCTATGACTTTCTCTATTTTATGATCCCACCAGTTTTTGCTTACAGGCAAATGATATTTTTTGCAGATCTTCCAATGCACCATTGTTGCTACTTTGTCATGCCGCTGCTTGTAATCAGTCTGTGCAATCTTCTTGCAACAGCTTACCAAGTGGTCCACTGTTTCTTCAGCTTCTTTGCATAGGCGGCACTTACTGTCTGTTGCTGTCTTCTCAATTTTGACTTTGTATGCATTTGTCCTTAAGGCTTGGTCTTGTGCAGCCAGAATTAGTCCCTCGGTCTCTTTCTTCAATTTTCCTGCTCTTAGCCATTGCCAGGTTTTATTATTATCTGCTTTCCCAGCTATTTTTTTCATGTATTGGCCATGTAGTGCTTTGTCTTCCCATGCCTCTATTCTGTTCTTCATTTGGTCTTTCTTGTAGGCCAGTTTGGTCTCTCCAGTAGTTAGTAAGCCTTCCTGATATACTAATTTCAGTGCATCTTCATCATTGTTCTTCAGATATTATTCCAAAGCCATTTTTTCTTCTTCAACCATCTGATGTACTTGTAGCATTCCACGCCCACCTATTTGCCTTGGTAAATAAAGTCTATCAATGTCACTGCGTGGATGAAGAGCATGATTCATTGTCATTATTTTTCTAGTCTTCCTATCCATTGCTTT